AAGGGGGCATTATGATTAGCATGTATAATGTGGGGGGGGGCACAGGGTGGGCTGTGCAACACGGAGTAGACAAGTAGTGATTCTACAGCATCTTACTATGCTGATGGACAGTGACTGTAATGGGGCTTGTGGGGGGGACTTGGTGAAGGGGGGAGCCTAGTAAACATAATGTTCCTCATGTAATTGTAGATTAATGATACCAAAATAAAAAATAAAAATAAACCTATCTAATCCTTGCTTTTCTTCCACATATTTATGTTAAGGGCAAATTGTTGCTTTAGAACCAAGGTATTTGGCCTGTGTTGGTATTTTCTGAATTAAATAGAATGGGCAGCGGGGGCAACCGCCTCTGCCCTTTCTGGACTACTATCAAAGAATGCAATGCTCCTGAGAGATATTTCTATGATAGCAAAGCAAAGACAGCTTTAAAAAAACTAAAGGAAAGCAAGTCTTTTCAGCTTTTAAAAAAAGGACTCATCCCAGCACTTGTCTTTAGCTGGAAAGAAGGGTGCCTCCAAAGAGCCTAAACAGCAGAAGTAGCAATGCTGTTTATTTTTTAGTGTAACTAGGATGTTTTCTAGGAATACCAACATTTTAAAGAGACACTGGTTAACACTCACAGATAAAAATTTTACAGCATTAGTTGTACATCATCCAATAAGGTGGTTAAAAACTTATTTTATTAAATCAGATCATGAAATATTTATTGATTATAGTTGATTCCCATTTTATTTCATATTCTGAGTTACTTAATTCTTACTATCTCCCAGTAACAACAAATTAGTTTGCTAGCTACTGGACCAATTAGTTATTGGCTATATGACAGGTATTGGCTATATGCTCATTAGCCAGGCTTCTTCTTCTTAAGTGTGCAGGAAAACCACATATTCCATTCTCCCTTGCAGTTAGATTGGATTCCTACCAAAGGAATATGAACACAAGGAATGCACACCACTTGCGATCCTAGATATGAACCCTTCTGCACAGTTACTAGCTTCATGGAGGTCAATATTGCAGATTCACGGTTGAAAGGAACAAAGCCACTGTTTTGAAGGTAGCTGCCTTGGAGAGTCACCCTATTCACTCTGGGGCCACGAAATGAATGAGAAATAAAACAGTGTGGAGGTGTTGTGTGGAGCAGCTAGCTTTAATTACCCTGATTAATATAAATACTATAATATATACCTTTATCTTTTATTAAACACATAGGAAAAGTTTGGGTTATGATGTCTAATGCAATTAATGACTTTATCTATGATTTTTAAGTATGCTTTTCATTACATCAAAAATTTAATATCAAAGTTCAAATTATACATGTGTATTTCCTGAAGAATATCACACCTATATTCATAGGTCTTGCTTCATAAATGATTTCTTCTTTTAGCTGGATACTACATTGCACTATATTGCAAATTAAGTAAAGAAAAATATATTACTGTTTTAATTACCTAGTGTAAAGTTAATTACATTAAAGCTATACCATTTTAATCTTGCTTTTAGAAATATACAACATGGGTTCCATTACAACTTATTTCTGTGTTTTTGATACTAGTCCTTAAAACAAATATTAACATATTTATTTGAACTGAAAAATTAGACTTTTTCTGATAGAAGAAAACACGTCTTACTTTTTATTGCTTAGTTTGACAATGAAGACTGGCTTTGCCAATTTTATAAGGTAACATTTTCTCCATAAATTCAATAAATGAAACCCTTAAGATTTTGACAAAAATGTATTTAAAACATATAATAAAAGAAATAAAAAAATATATTGTATTAGCACAGATACTGAAATTAACAGTTCCAATTTTTTCTAGGTATATTGATTTAAATGAAGTGTCAGTGGATAAGAGTGAAAGGTATAATTAAGTTTTTTGTTAATCCTTGAGAAAGCCTTTTTGGTGTGGCTTCAGAGATTGCGATGCTAATGTCTGTGTAGTAAAACTCTTTATAAGTCAGATGGTTTCTTTCATAGCTTTAACAAATTAAAAAGAGGACCTAATTGAATTGTTGGCTGAAATCTTAAAAAATAATTTCAGATAATAAAGCACTGTGGTTTTCGGCATTTAATTTTTGAAAGAAGTTCAAAGAATTTGGTGACATTATTATAATTAAATTATTTCTATTCATGTATTATTGTTTTTGTGTATAAGGTAACATTATGCTTACATACATAAAAATTAAAAACAGCAACAGAAGTGGTACTGTGCCCTATTTTTGATGTATTCTTCAATGAGAACATGAACTACTGAATAAATGAATACCCATTAATATCAATAAGAGGTACATTGCTGAAAATTTCTTAGATGTTCAGTGAGTATAAAAACTATTTAATATATTTATATTACCTTAACTACTTGTATGATAGTTGTCATGACAATTACAGANACCCATCAATATTATGCAAAGTAATGCTAAGGTACAGAAGCAGTATTCTGCTATCTTGTGTGAAACATGCCTTATTTTGTTTCTTCAATTTTCAATATGAAGTGGTTACTTACATTAGTAAAATTATAAAAATCAGCAAGTTGGGTATATAAAAACTGTCAATGTCTTACTTTAGGTATATATATATATATTTTTTTGAGAGGGCATCTCTCATATTTATTGATCAAATGGTTGTTAACAACAATAAAATTCTGTATAGGGGGGTCAATGCTCAATGCACAATCATTAATCCATCTCAAGCCTAGTTCTCGTCAGTCTCCAATCTTCTGAAGCATAACGAACAAGTTCTTACATGGTGAACAAGTTCTTACATAGTGAATAAGTTCTTACATGGTGAACAGTACAAGGGCATTCATTACAGAAACTTTCGGTTCTGATCACGCATTATGAACTATAAACAATGAGATCAAATATGAATATTCGTTTGATTTTTATACTTGATTTATATGTGGATCCCACATTTCTCCCTTTATTATTATTATTATTATTTTTAATAAACTGCTGAAGTGGTAGGTAGATGCAAGATAAAGGTAGAAAACATAGCTTAGTGTTGTAATAGAGCAATTGTAGATGATCAGGTGTGTGCCTGTAGACTATGTGCTAATCTGAGCTAGACAAGGGCAATAAAACATCCATGGATGCAGAAGCTTTCTCTCAACACAGGGGGGGTGAGGTTCTAAGCTTCACCACTGTTGTTCCCCAATTTCTCACCTGATGGCCCCCCTGCGACTGTGCCTGTCTTAGGTTGTTCCTCCCTTGAGGAATCTTAGGGTAAAAAGATTTTATTAGGGTAAAATTCCAAAGGGCATGGAATGAAAATCAGCTCAAGAAGTAAAAAGAAACACTGCAATTTTCTGATTGCAAAAGGACTGTTCTATGTATTTATTTTTTTTAAATGAGTGCATGGGCATGTCACTAAAATTTTCCAGAACCTTGGTTTTCTCTCTACTATAAAATGAGTAAGTTGAACCAGATCATTAGGCCTCCTTATGTCCCCAATATCGTATGCCTCCGTGACTAAAGATTCAGAACTATTCCTTTAGATGATTGAAAGCAAAAAGTATCTAAATATGCATTTCTTTTCTTTTTTCTTCTTTCTCATTTTCCTTCTTAACTCCCTCTTGTCCTCTATCCCAACAATATTAAGGCCCTGCTGGGGGATACAGCACAGATCGTATTTCTGGAGAGGTTTATTTAAATTGGTCTCATTATTTAGCAATTAATCACAGTAATTCAATGGCTTCCCCTAACCAAAAATAATCAAACTATTCATGACATCATTATTTTCACTAGGAAATTAAATCTGAAAAGCACCCAAAAAGATAGTATTTTCTAAAATAAAAAGACCATATTGGCATACCCCTTACTTCCTCCTTCTGAGGAAACTAGAATCTTAAAATAGCTCATCAGAAATAAAATCCTTTGGATTAGATAAATTCCCCAGAAAGTCTATAATTGTAGAATATGTATGACAAATCCACTAGCACTGCCAAGTGTTATTTACAAAACAATGCAAGAGATGATCTATAAATAGTTGCATTTTGGTTTTAAACAGTTTCATTTTGGTAATAGAATGTGTGGTTTTTTGTTATAAGCAGTGAGAAAAGATCTTGAAATGTTAGCGCTGTGGGTTTCTTTCTTGCCCCACACTTCTAAGCAGTTAAATCCATTGGGTTGATTTTGGGAGAATAGTGATTGTTAGATCAGGGATACAAAGAGAAACAAAGTTAAGTTCGGGCGGTTGCTGGCCAGCCCTGGAGAGCTACTGGCAGGCAGGCCAGTGACTGCAGACCATCCCTGCCATCTGAGTGAGCATGCCACCTTTGTGTAGGTGCTGTTGGCATCACTGTCAGGTCATTCTAGCACCTGTACTCAGCTTCCTGGATCATCCAGGTGAATGATGTCCACTTGTACCCTAAGACTTTTCTAGGCTCCCACTTGAACTGCTCTGTTCTGAACTGAGTCAACAGGGCATTCTTTTCAAAACAGTGTGAGGTCCTTCACCCCTAGAGAACACTGATGATGAAGGAGCAGCAGGGGCCCCAGTCTGGCACTTGGAAGGGTTTGGATGGACAGTGGGAAACACATTCCTGGTTACATGTGTATATATTTATACTAGAGAAGTACTAGGGTTTTAAGTACTGGTTACCTTTGTACTATAAGATGAGATGGCATATAAAATAAAAAGACCATATTGGCATGACCCTTACTTCAGTATTCATTTATAAATTTAGTAATAAACTTTTCTTGAATACCTACTGAATATTATATTAGCTCATATTTTGAATCAGGCCCTGGGGATTAAAAAGAAAAAGAAGCTATCATCGTCCTCAAGATCATAGGATGCTAGAGGTGCGTATGATACCTGCAAGACTTCATTCACTGAACAAACATTTATTGAGCACCTATTATGTGCCAGTCACTGTTCTGGGTACTAGGGATATCAGTGGTGAATAAGATGGATAAGGTCCCTTTCTTGTAAGCTTATGTTGTGGTGGGGAAGATGTAGTGTAAATAAATAAATAAGGTAACTTCAGTTATTATATGTGTTATGAAGAAAGTAAAATAGGCCAGTGTGATTGAAAGTGACTGGTTGGGGGAGAAAAGGGAGCAACTTCGGGTGGCAAGACAACCTTGTTGGGGAGGGTATGTTTAAGATGAACACTGAATAATGAGGAGTTAGTCATGCAAAGAAAGACCTTTGGAAAGAACAGACAGAATGGAAAGTGGAGAAGTCCTCAGGCAAGTATCAGTTTAGCGTGTTCTAGAAAGATGGCCAATGATGCAATCTCTGTAGGCTCAGGAGTGGGGGGCCTCCTTCATTAAGGAGGTGATGGGGTCTTACAGCTTGACACACAGTGAGTGCTTAATAAAGGAAAGCTTTTTTCCTCTGACCTATTAGATTTAAAAATATTTATTGCCAAGTTCATACACTCTCATTCCTACTTCCAAGAGGCAACTACTCTTATTTATTTTTAGTTTTTTTGGCAGTTACTATACATATCTTAGAACAGAATGGTCCTAAAGTTATTTCTTCATGTATCAACTACAGGTATTATCTATTCACTTACTACAATGACAGATAAGCATTTGGCTCAAGAGTTATGGTTATTTTTTCTTTCTCTACTGGTTACCTTTATATCTATAAATAATATACTTAAACTTCAATGTCCTGTTCCTCCACCTATTGACTCCCACATTGTAAGATTGAGATATTCTAGACCCAATCCTTCATGTTGCTTCTCCTCCTCCACTTCTCTGCTGGACACAACCTACTATGCCTCACAGAATATTATTCCAACTCTTTCTAGCATGTCATACAGGGCCCTTTATTATCTAGGACCTGCCTATGTTTTCATTTCCTGGCATTATCCACATTAGCTATACTCACAGTCATAATGAACTATGTACTTAATAGTTTCTAGAAACTTTTGTGTGCTCTTGTGTTTTTTCTCATTGACTCATATGTTTTCATTGCCTGGAATGGTCTCCTTCTGCCAATTCATTGTTAAATCCCATTCATTCATCTTAGCCTACATGACATTTTAAGGAATCTCTGGTAGATGCCATCCATTAAATAAAAATATATTTATTGAATGGCTGGTATGTTCAAGGTATCCTGGACATCGTGGTCCAAGACAGATACTTATGAGTTTGCTTAATAAGCAGACAATAAAAATAACCACCATTATGAAACCTACCATATGTCAGGACTATACTAAATAACTCACATACGCTATTTTAATCCTCACAATTTTGTGAGACTTAAAGAAGTTAAATGTTCTACCTGAGGTTACTTCCTGTAAGTGGCTAAGCTTTATATTCAACTTCAAATATGACTTCAGAGCTGTTACTCTTAAACTACACTCACTCTGCTTCTATTACCTTGTAACATTTGTCACATTGTTTTGAAATTGTGCATGAAGTTCCCCATGTAAATCACAGAATATAAAAAAAATTGTGTGGCTATTTCTTCAGGTTGGTATATGAGTACGATTCTAGATGCATAGGAGAGAAATTAATGTACTATATGTGTGGGTGGCTAAAGGAACTAAGGATTCTCTATTGAAATCTCAGACTGAAAAAGGCTTGTGTTAGACTGAAGTGTTCTTTAGGGTAGAGACATGTGTGACATTGTGGGTGCTTCATAAATTTTTGTTGCACCTGTAACTTAAACATTTGTAATTAATACCTACTCAGTTTTGGGACTGAAAAAACTAATTACGTTAGTCCTGCTTTTGAAGGTAGCTTTGCAGCAGAAGTTAGGTTCTGTCTTCTTTTAATAGCATTCAAGGAACATTGGGCCGAAACTTTGAATGGTGGTAGAATGCAGTGGTTAACTGCACAGACTTTGGAGCCAGACTGCACAGATTCCAACTTCAATTCCATTGTTGACTATTTTACAAATTTAGGAAGTTATTATTTAACATATGCAAGGCACTTTTATAAGTACTTTACAAAAATTATCTGAATTAAACTTAACACCCCTATGTAGTAGATACCTTAGCTATTTCTTAATAACTCCATGCCTCAGTTTTCTCCTTTGTTGAGTGGGGATAATAATAACAAAAATACCTCAAGAGGATTAACGTTAGGATTCAATGAGTGTAATGTGCTTAGAAAAGTATCTGGTCCATAGAAGGTTACTATCAGTAGAGGCTGTGATCAGGGCAGGAAATCATTTGGATGTAACTTAACAATTTTTTCATTTTATGTTAATGTTCACTTCAAAAGGACAGTTAGAATTATCCAGAATGGGAACTAGATCTTAAGCATCTCTGGGTCAAATTGGCTCTGTATATCTAAGGGAAAATTCAGTGACTGGTGCTGAAATGGAAAATGTAGGGAAAACTTCCTTTGAAATCCTTCCAGTTTTCTGCATCTGCTTTGCCATCTCTCAAGTCCACATTATTGTTATCTCTTGCCGGGATGGTTGCAATAGCCTTCTAAGTTGTTCAACAGCATCCTCCTTGGCTGACTCTGTTCTGTTCCATGAGATGGACCCTTTCAAAACACAGAGACAAATTGGATTGCACTATGCTCCTGCTTAACACAGTCCACTGGTTTCTCATTGTTCTTAGAATAAGGACCCAAATCAGTTAACTTAGCTGACCAAGTCTTATAGGATCTGGCCTCGGCTCATCCCTCCCCACAGTCTTCACCCCAGCCACATCAGCCTTCATTCATTTTTCAACCAATACTTAATTGATCACCACGTACTTACAGAATCATTGAGAATACATCAGTGACCAAGAGAAACACAGTTCTTGTACTCACAGAGCTTACATTTTAGGAGGTAGGGGAACAACAGCAATGACAACAAAAACCAGACAAATATAATACTTGTTGGTTCCAATAAGTATGAAAACGGAATTGAGCCTGCAAATAAAAAAGAGGGCCCATGTGAGATAAGGTGGGCAGGAAGTCTTCTCTATGAAGGTAATATTATAGATGAGATCTAAAGGAGAAAGAGAAGTGATCCATACAATGAATGGAGAGCAGAGAATCCAAGTGGAGGGAACCACCTCTGCAAAGGGTAATATGCTGGAAATTCTGGTGTGTTTGAGGTTCCCAGAGCAGATCAACTTACTGCACAAAGTAAAATAAGAGGGAGTGAGTTTGGAAGCCCATTGTAAAGAATGAGAAAAAATTTACCTCTTTTTTTTTATTTTAGAAAATCTCAAGTTATTTAAAAAAGCTGAAAGGGGCACAATGTACCTTTCATCTAGATCTACCTACCAATCACTATCTTTTTTCCTCATGTGCTTTTTTTGTTCTATTCTTTTGTTTCTCTCACGTTCTGGGTAAGCCAAGACACTGTAACAATTTGCTACTAAATACTGAAGCAAGTATCTTCTTAAAACAAAGATGTTCTTCTACATCGGCACAAATTATCACATGCAAAAAATTTAATACTGATTCAGTATCATCTAGAATGTAATCCATAATTACATTTCTTCAATTGTCCACAAAACGTCTTTCAGTTTTTTTTTTAAATCTATAAACCAATCAGGATACATGAACTTCATTTAGCAACATTTGCTTCTCCACTAAAGCAATCTTCCACTTTGGATTTATTTTCCAAAGAAGAGCCTAGGCCTGTTGTCCTGTAAAAGGTTTTACCTTCTTTTTTCTCCCTAGTGTTTCCTCATGATTAGATTTAGGTTAAACACTGCTGGCACAAATAGTATCAGATGATAGACTGTCCCATTATCAGTGATGATGTTTCCTCATTTGGTTAAGGGATGTCAAATAAATCTCTGCATAGTAAAATTATCCTTTTCCTTTAGAATTAAGAATTAATCTTTAGGGTGATTCTTTGAGATAGTGTTAACACCCTGTTCCCTGGCAACCTTTCAGCCAACGGTGTTAGCATCTATTGTTTGAGCTACTTGATAATCCTTACCTATGTCAATTTTCACACTGAGAGCTGCAAAATGAGGATTTTCTATTTATTAGAATCCCTCCTGCACTCATTTAACTGGCATTCTTGTGTACAGAACAGCTTTTCATTTTTATTCTTTCTCCCTTGCTCTCTTATGGAAAGGACTTTAAAAGAATATAAATGTTTGGATCTACTACTATCATTACTCTTTTTGATGCTCAAATTGTTCCAAATATGGTCAGTGGAAGACCTGTTAGGCCAGATTCAATGTCCTTTTGATTTGACTCCATTAATCTCTAAGGACTTCTTTGCTTTCTGACAAGAATGTTTCAGGCTCACTTCCTAGTTTCCCTGTTTCAGACCTGCAAGCAGCCTTCTCTCTATGGTGCACTGGTTCCTTTTAGTGATAAATAGTATTTAGAAAACATTTGGGTGGCTTGGTGCTGGGTCAGGTATCAGGGTTTCTTGGACTCTAGGCCCTTTTGATGGGCCCAATTAAGATAAAAAAAAATCACGACCGCATTCTACTACCTTCAATTCAAATAAACACCATGGAGTTCTTCCTTACCTTTTATCATTCAATATTTATCTTCCTCCTCCCACAGTGAGAACCTTTCAAACAACATGGCTATATTTACTTATTTGTTTTTACCTATAACACATGCACAATAATTTCAAAAGTACTACATTTTTCACATCAAACCTAAGCAGTTACTGATTTCTTTGCACTTCTTTTTGCTCTTCCATTGTATCCAACAGCTCTGAACTCCAGTATATAGAGTACTGTGCTCAAGTTAATTGAACAACTCTTTTTCTTAGTATGGTTAAGTTAGCAATTTGATATACAAGTAGGTTCATTTGTTTCTGGTATTAAATTTCAGGGCTTGCTCTTATTTCCATTCTTTTAGATTTACACTTTTTAAAGGGCAAAACTATATTTTTAAAAAGTTTACTCAGAGAAGACACATGCCATCCCCAATCCTTGAAAAACATTCCCACCCCTTACTGGCATCAATTCTTAACTAATTTTGATTTATAGTTTCTGTATTTATAAAAAGTAAACCAAAAAAAGTGTGGTGTATATATATACACACATATTAATGTATATATATACATATACACATAGAATTTCTCATTTCTTATACAAGTCAGTATTCTTTATATATTCTTTCACACCTTTTCCCTTCACTTAACAGTATAAATACCATTTTATTCTAAATTGAAAGGCTTTAAGTCAGGGAGTGCTGTGATCCTTTCCATTTTGAGATTAGTTTGGTAGCTTTATAAAGAACATTCTGGAGGGCAGCAGGACCTTAAGTTGACAGAGAAGCTGGGAGGCTGAGGTGGTCTGGTAATGAAGTGGGGAAGGGATATTGATTTCACTTACATCAGTAAAGCAGATGTATTTGCATGCATTTACTTATGAAATGGATGAGGATGGTGAGGGAAAAGGATTCAAAGATGATTTTTTTATTCATTTTTAGTAGCTGGGCAGATACATGGTGGTGTCATTTCACCAAAATGGAGATTAGGGAGGAGAGGATCTGGGTTTTGGAGTAAAAATCAAGGTCCCACAGTGAATACGTTAAGTCAGAGATGTCTGCTATACATCCAAGTGAATACTTATTTGCATCTGGTTGGAGTTCAGAGGAGAAGTGTGGGGAGGATTAGTAGTTTAGCAGTCACCAGTATAAAGACATTTATATGGGAGTTGATGAGGTTGCCAAGGAAGGAGACTGGAGAGAAAAAGGGTGGCTCAGGACCATGTTCTAAGGACTCCCACAATTTAGAACTCAGAAGTATTTCAAAATTGAAGGTTTTAACTGTGTGTATGTAACATTCAACTGTGTGGCATGCTTCTGGGAGCTAGAATAAAATGAGAGAGAATCTGTTGGATTTTGTGTTTATCCCTGTGTGTGGTATGTTTCCTATGCTGGGATGCAACACCTTTTTTTTTTTTTTTAACCTAGTTAATTCCTAATGACCCTTGGAGATTCAGATCAAATGCACAGTACTGTTGGAATTTCTCAATTATTTGTATTTTTTAAATCGTCTATTCCGTTAGATTGTAAGGTCCTTGAGGTTTGGTCTCTTTTTTGCTCACTGTCCTCCACTGTTCCCTTAAGTCCTAACCTAGTATTTGGCATGTCCCAAGTTTTCAAAAATATCTATTGAACATTAAGTGTAGAACCTGATCGATTTAAGAGCTGGAAATCAGTAACAGGTAGTAAAAAGCAATTAAGAGGTATGACAGAAAACTCAAGTTTAGGGGTATGAAGTGCCAATGAAGGAGCAAAGGAAACTGACATGGACACTAAAAGACTTGAGTTCCAGCCTGGACAGGAAAAGTTATTGTCTTTCTTCCTTTTTTCCCTTTTACATCTGCTTTTCTTGTTCACTGTTACTCCTGGCCCTGCATCCTCTTCTCAACTCCAAACTAGACGACCTCAAATAAGATTATTTTGTGGGGAGAGAAGGCCACCTGAATGAGGAGATGGGGAAGTTAGTGAGACAAGTGGGTGTCACAGGAGATACACAGAATAAGGAAAGGAAGATAGCAAGCTCACCAAACAAGGTATTCTACAAATGCTACTAACCACGTAAAACAATCAGATAAAAACCACATGTAAGAGGGTGGGTCTTTAAATCATGCAGCTGAGTTTCAATTCCAGCTCCGCCATTAACAGCCATCCATACACCTTTGAGCAAATGACTTAACCATATGAATTGTTTCCTCGGAATTTATAAAATGAAGATAGTAATAGGACCTACCTCAAAGAACTGTTCTCAGGATCAGTAAGACAATCCATTCTATAAGCTTAGCATCATCTGGCACAAAGTAAATGCTCAATTAACGTTAGCAGTTATTTTTTAAAATGAGTACAGTAAATGCTTGTCATATGAGTGTAATAGCACCAACTCAAAAGAACCACTTTCAAAGCAGAGGATATACTGGCACATTTTGGGCAAGACCTCTGCTAATGCATGGAATTAAGACTGCCACACTACAGTGCCTTGCAGCGGTAGCTACTTTATATTTTCAAAAAGGCAGAAAAAAAAGAGAAAATGCTTATAAAAATCAATTTTGGGAAAAATTCATTTCGTCTCTTGAGGGCTGTGGACGACAGGCAGGGTCGTGCAGCGAGGGAAGCGACCGCAGCGCTGGTTCTAAGAGAATCTCGGATACGGAGCCTGTTCCCGCACGCAGGGACAGGGCAGCTCATTGACTAGCTCCCCATTCCTCGGCTCGTCCCTAGGGCAGTCGCGAACTAAGTGTGGCGGCATTGGCCTCACCTGGGGCCTTCGCTACGTCTTTATTGTCTCCAGAATGGTATCCGACATGTGCGCCCCCGTCAACAGAAGAAAGTAGCCATCCCAGCTGCGCGAGTAGTAACCACCCCCGCGCGGCGCGCAGAGTAGAGGCTCGGGCAATCCGCAGGCGGGCCGCCCACTAACTCCTCCGCCCATTGGTCGCTGGGCATTCCAAGACCCGCCTCCCAGATTTGAAAGGTCCTTCCGGGAGCAGGTGAGAATCCCACAGCGCGAGCCCTCCGCGCTCCCGGGCGTCTTTACGGAGGCTCCGCCCACTCCCAGCGTTCAGTGCGGTGCCCTGGCCGCCATTGTTTGAATTTAAAAATGTAAACCTCGCGGTGCTGCTCACGGGTTGGGCAGGCCGATCAACGCTTCCTCGCGGGTGGGGTGGCGGCCCACGTGAAGGTGCGAGGGAGGAGGTTGGGTGAGTGCGCCCAAGTCAGGTCTGAGGCGGGGAAGTGGTTCCGGCAGTGAGAGGTGGCACCTTCCGACCGGGCTTGTGAAGCCACTGTTACTCTCTGGACCTGTGCTGCGGAGCGGTGGGGCGCTTGAGGCAGCGCGAGCATGTGGAAGTGTTGAGCCACACTACTGGGGTCAGGGTTTCAGTCTCGAACTCACCGCGTATTAGCTGAGACGCAAGGTAAGTATTACATCTCTCTGGGACCTTAGCTTTCTCATCTGTTAAAGAGGGTAGTAGTAGTGTGTATCTCTTACCGGCGCTTGTGAAGATAATATGTAACCTTGTTTAGAAACAATGCGGGTTTATAGTAGGCACTAAGTGTTTGCAATCAATATTTTTATAATTGTTTCTGTTGTCATTGTTGTGGCGCAGGCTGCTATTGTCAAGCCTAGACTCCTGAATCCCGGAGGAGAGCAGTTTGCTTGGCCCGTGACATGGACTCTTTCGGGGAACCCTAATGTGGCCTTCGGTGTGTTTATTTCCTGGCTGCTGCTGGTGTCAAGGGCTTGCCCTTCTTGGGCTTGGCAATGGCAAGCGGAAGGGTGTGTGTGTGGAGAGTGCAATGACTACTGTCATCTGCCCATTGAGGTTTTCCCCATCTCATGCCACTTCTCGCATCAGTGATTCCTGCTTGGCGCAACTCAGATATATTCTTTGCTGAAGGACTGGTTGACACAAGTTAATGCTGTAAACAATCCTTGCTTAAGGTGGTCAAATTCACGTTTATTTTTGTTTATAAAACAAGGTAGTATTTTTACTTAGAAGCAGCGTAGCAGTTTATATATTTTGTTAGATGTCCAAGACTCAAGACTTCAAGCTATAAAATAATACAAAAGCTTTATCAATTAGTTATGAAGACTTTTTGAGGCTGTACTTTGTGGATGCCATTCAGAAACCTGACTCAGTAGAAGATCTGGTTATTTTTCACCAGTCTGCAACAATGGAACGTCGAGGGAAAAATGCAGTTTCTCACTCGTAGAAACAACCCTCTGAAATGAGAAATGAGGTTTTGAACCCTGCTGTTGCTATAGATAATATTACTAAAAGAGTAGGAACATTTTCAGGCAGGACGGTAGAGAGGATTTATTGCCATTTTACATAAGTCACCAGACGGAGATTTTATCACTCATCTCTGAATTTGTTGTAGAGGATACAGGTAACATAAGAGAAGGTCCTTGCCCTCAAGAAATTTCTAGTCAAGTTAGGGAGGCCACACATAAATAGAAGTTAATTAAAAGTACAGGAAGTGACAGTACATCTCAACAGTTCTGTAAATGTTTAGAGGCAGAAGTAGCTCATTGAAACCGAACAAGAACAAGTATAAACTACTATAACCTTACTTTTTTAAAGGAGGTGCAAATATTCATTTTAATTTAGTAATTTAATGTAAGATTTATCATTAAAAAAATTAATTGAGGTAAAAGAATGAAGCTCACCTTCCAGTTTCATGGGTATTTCCTTGAAATCTGAGTTATGAAATGTTAATGTCAGTACTTCAATGTTTTTGCAAACTATTCTTTCATGTTCTAGATCAGTGGTTATTTTTTTACTCTATCAGATACTCTTTTTCTTAATTTTCACTCGTAAATTGCATGTTTGAAATATTCTGTCAAACTGCATTTAAGTAATTTTCCCATTTTCATTACGTGGATTATGCAAAAAAAGAAATAAAGTTAAACTGGTTTAACTGTAATTTACTGGGTTTTGTTGAGGTAAATGTATAATTTCCTTAGTCTTGCAATTTAGATAAAAAGAAAAAACCCCACAACTCTGTTGTATTTGAGTTTGGGGGTTTCAGGGCTGATCAAGGCAAAAGTAGCACCCAAGGAACTTAATAGGGGTGGCATATGACAGGATTGCACGTGGAAGTCCCCCACAGACTGAGACCTTCCGGAGGCTAGAGAGAAGGGCTACCAAGTAGAGGGGGAAGAGAGGGAGAGAAGGGAGAATCAGAGAGGGGCCTTAGATATGGAAGTGATGTTGCTCAGCAGCACAGCTTCAAGTCCTTGGGTCAGAGGACTCCAGAGGGCAGCAGTGACTTGGGTTCTCTATAGCCCTGGGTTTCATCTGTGGCTAGCTGGTGTTCGGCACAGTCTCATGGGATGTGCAAACCATTTAGGCTCTAAATGGCTAAAAATAAGCTTATTTGGGCTATATTCAAAGCAAATGGATATGTAAAAATTTGATTTTTGGTACTTAAGTGGGTGTTTGAACTGATGTTTCTGGCCTGTGAAGAAGAAAGCAGGGGCTGTCTTTGACTCATTGATATAACATCTGTGATTACCCATTGCTGCTTTCCTGAGCCTAGTTTGGGAGTCACTGTTCTGGATCTTTCATAACATTGTCAAAGAGTGGCAGCAAGTTCTCTTTCTTTCTGGTATTCTCAGTAAATAATTTGAATGTTAATATTTTTTCAGTTAATATTGCTCTAAGTTTATCTTTTTGAATTCATGTTCAATTTAGTTTTAATAGTTTGATGTGTTAATCCATATTCACTTGAGTTGTTAAGACCTATGATGTGTCATGTTTTGAATGTTGACATGTTATTACTTCACTTCTCATTTGCATTATTTGAAAGAATTTAGCTGAAAGTAATTATACAAATAACTGAGTTTAACTCCTAAATGCTAAAACATTACAAAGTCTATAAGTAACATTCTTCAGAAGACATTAAATAACAAATAACACAAGGGTATAATTATTCAACCCTTACTATTTGATTTCTGAAAGGGTTTCAGGCAGAGATGGAATGTTTTGTACACTCTATGAATTATCTTAACAAAATCTCTTTGGATGAATCTACACATAGGATGGATCATGAATAAAAGTGGTAGTTGTTTTCAACATTATTTGATTCAGAGTCTGTAAATAATTTGATCTTTTGTGTTTTTCATAGATCATCACGTTATACGTGAAGCAATCTAAACATTTTCCTTCTCTGAAAGTCAAGTAATATAGGGGAAAGTAGTGGACTGGACTCAAGACTTTTTAAACGGTGGATGGCTTATGTGCTGATTTGTTAAGATTGTCTAAAGAAATTGCTGTTATTCTTGCAGAATGGAATCTCATTTCAATCAAGAGGGAGTGCCTAGACTGTCATATGTTTTTAGTGCTGACCCAATTGCCAGACCTTCAGAAATAAATTTTGATGGCATTAAGCTTGACCTCTCTCAGGAATTTTCTTTAGTTGCTTCAAGCAGGGAGGTAAGTACAAAAATGGTATGTTGACTATCATGATTAAGTGGAAATGTGAGTGGCACACACACACCTGCAGATAGGTACAACTAGAGCTTTCCAAACTGTGGATTCAAGGCAACCTTCTATCAGTAGTATTTTCATGGCATCTTAAATACATAATAGCTCCTTTTTAAGCACTAGGTCCAAACAACTTAGTAACTTTGCCCTCACTTAATAGCCATTTGAATTAACTTAAATGAAAAAATAATTTTTAATATCACTCATCCTTTTCTATGGTTGTTGCTAATGGGATGTGTGTGCTTTTGGACAACTCACAACTTCTCAAGCTTTGGAATCAGAGTGCCCTCTTTTCCTTTTCCTCATTGCTTTGAGGTAGTATTTGCTTTGTATCACAGCAACCACTAAAAAATCCAGCTTCATGAAGATAACATGTCAAAAGAAATAGTGTGATATGATGTTGAAACTATGAGCTTATAGTTCATGGTGTTTATCATATGTTAATTACTGCTGTGATTCCCTCAAAAATTGTAAAATAACCCACTCTGCACCTAGGGAATTGCAGGCTTTTGTTTTATAATCATACAAATGTTTAAAAATTAAAATAACTCAGTAGTGTTTATTTAAGAAGTTAAAGTCATCACTCTACCTTCTGCCACTATAATGTTTGCTGTGTGGCTTTACAGACTTTTTCTTATACATTTATTTTTCAATCCATTTATATTCTATTTTACATTTTATGTTATTAATTTTGATGCCTTAGAAAGGTGGACTAATGCATTTTATAACGAGTGATGGAAGGGGAAAGGGGAATACAGGGAAATAGAAAAGAATAATACTTAATATACATCATGTGCTGGGCTCTTCTACTTTAGCTTAATTAATCCTAAAGAAAGAAAAAGAAGGAATAAGTACTTCTTGGTATATAAGTGGAATCATACATTTTGTAGACTTTTGTGTCTGCATTCTTTAACACAAGGGTGGGTAAATAACGGTCTGTTTTTTGAATTGCTCATAAACTAAGAATGGTTTTTACCTTTTTAAATGGTTGAAGAAAAATCAGAAGAATAATGTTTCATGACTTGTGAAAATTAATGAAATTCAGACTTAACTATCCATAAATAATGTTTTGTTGCTTCATGGCCATATTAATGGGTTTACTTATTTTCTAGGTCTCCTTTTGCGTGTAGAATTGTAGTTGTGGCAGACTATAGGGCCCTTGGAGCCTCAAATATTATCTAGCTCTTTACAGAGGAAATTTCCTGACCTCTGACTTAGCATTATATTTTTGAGATTCATCATGGGTCATGAATTGGTAATTTGCTACTTTTTATCACTAAGTGGTAGTTCATTGTGCGGTTATGCCACAATTCCATTTACTATTTGATCGTTATTTGGGTAGTTTCCATTTTTGGACCATTACAAATAATGCTGCTGTGAACATTTGTGTGCAGGACTTTCTGTGAATTTGTTTTTTCATTTCTCTTGGTTAAATACTTAGGAATAGAAATGTGGGTTGAATGGTAAGTGCAAATTTAACTTCATTACAAGCTGCTAAATTGTTTTCCAAACTGGCTGTATTAGCACCAGAAATGTATGCATGTTCCAGTTCCTCTACCTCTTTGCCGGCATTTGGTGCTGTTGTGTGTGTAGTAGTACCTTATTGTGGTTCTAGTCTGCTTTTGCCTAGTGAGCATTTTTTCAAGTATTTGTTGGCCATTCCTATACCTTCTTACATAAAATGTCTCCTCAAATCGTTTCCTCATTAAAAAAAATAGGTTTTTCTAAGTGGTTTGTGATATATCTTTATAAATTGTGGCTATATAACCATTATTAGATTGATGGTATCTTGATTAGCAGAGGTTTTAATTTTAAAGAAGTCCGGTTTAACTTTTTTTCTTTTATGATGCTGCTCTTCTGTGTTCTCTTTAAGAAATCTTTGCCCACAGTTGTGAAGCTTTTTGGTACATGTTCTTCTAGAAGTGGTTGTAGCTTTTAATGGTTATATTTGTTGTCCATCTTGAATTAGTTTTTGTGTGTAGTTGATGTAGGGTTCATTGAGTTTTTTTTTTAACCTCAATTTATCTAGTTATTTCAGCATTTTGTGTTGAAAAGACTTTCTTTTCCTCATTAAATTGTTTTAGTGCTTGTACTGACAGTCAGGTGATTGGTGTATCTATGTGTGGATCTATTACTGGATTATTCTGTTCCATTGATCCATTTGTCTATCCTTATGCCTATACTTCACTCTCTGTTTCAGGAGCTTTATAATTCTTGAAATCAGGTAGTGTGGATTCTATAACTTTGCTTTTCTTTTTTAGGGATATTTTCTGAGGAAGTATATTTAGATGCTTTGTATACTCAAATTTTAGAATTGATTTACCAGTTTCTACAAAACAGTCTATTGGGATTTTTGACTAGGATTGCATTGAATCTATAAATCAACTTGAAGAGATTTGACATTTTAATAATACTATTTTAATCCATAAACATAGTATGTTTCTCCATATATTTAGGTCTTTAAATCATTAGCCGTGTTTTATACATCCTTTCACATCTTTTGTTAAATGTATTTGTATATATTTCATGGTATTTGAAGCTGTTGTAAATTACATTTTTAACAGCTTTATTACAATATAATTAAGATGTAAAGATACAATAAAAAGTGTCATTTGACAAGTTTTGATATATGCATGTACTCCTGAGACCATCACTAGAATCAAGATAGTGGATATCTCCATCATTCTTAAAAGATTCCCTGTATGTTCTTGTAATCCCTCCCTCCCATCATACCTCCAAGTAAACCACTGTTCAACATTCTGTCAGTATATATTAGTTTGTACTTTCTAGAATTTTTCTAGAAATGGAAACATAAAGTATGTGTTCTCATTTTTTGGTGGGGAGATCTGGTTTTCATTTGCCCAGCATGCTTATTTTGAGTTTCCTCCATGTTGTGTCTATCAGGTCATTCCTTTTTGTCCATTGTATGGATATGACGTGATTTGTTTATTCACAGTTGATGGACATTTATATTTACAGCTTTTGGCTATTAAAAACAAAGCTCCTATGAACATTTATATACAAATCTTGGTATGGACATATATTTCCTGTTTGTTCCATGGGTAAATATCTAGAGATGGAATGGCTGGATCATTCTTGAGAAATTACTTAACTTTTCCAAAGTGATAATACCATTGTATAATCCAGCAGCAGTGTATGGAAGTTATAGTTTTCCACATCCTCACCAATATTTGGTATGTCAATCTTACTTATTTATTTTTAAATAGACTTTATTTTTTAGAGAGATTTTATATTCACAGCAAAATTGAGCAGAAGGTACACACAGATTTCTCTTACAACCTCTGCTCTCACACATGCATAGCCTCCCCTGTTATCAACATTCTCTACCAGAGTGGTACATTTGTTAACAATTGATGAACCTATGTTAATACATCATTATCACCCAAAAGTCCAAAATTTATATTAAGGTTCACTCTTGATGTACATTCTGTGGTTTTGGACAAAGGCATGGGGATAGGTATCTGCCGTTATGGTATCATACAGAGCATTTTCACTGCCCTAAAAATCCACTGTGTTCCACCTATTCATTCCCTTTCCCATCTCTACCAAACAGTGATCTTTTAACAGCCTCCATAGTTTTACCTTTTGATTATCATATAGTTGGAATCATAATATGCAGACTTTTCAGATCGGCTTCTTTCACTTTGTAATATTCACTTAACTTTCCTCCATGTCTTGACATGGCTTGATAGCTCATTTCTTTTTAGCACTGAATAATACTCCTTTTTATGGGCGTACAGCAGTTTATTTATCCATTCACTTACTGCAGGACATCTTGATTGCTTCCAAGTTCTGGCAGTTAGGAATAAAACTGCATTAAACATCTATGTGCAGGATTTTGTGTGGACAGAAGTTTTCAATTCCTTTGCATAAATAACAAGGAGCATGATTGCTGGATCATATGGCAAGGTTATGTTTAATTTTGTAAGAAACTGCTAAACTGTCTTCTGAAATGTCTGTGTACCATTTTACATTCTCACCACCAATGAATGAGATTTTCTATTGCTCTATATCCTCATCAGCATTTAGTATTTTTGTCAGTGTTTCGGATTTTGGCCATTCTAACAGGTATGTAGTGCTGTGTTGTTTTAATTTGAATGTCCCTGATGACATAATAATTTGGGGCATTTTTTCGTATCCTTGTTTGCCATCTGAATATCTTAATTGGTGAGGAGGTGCCTCTTCAGGTCTTTGGTCCTTTTTTTTAAATAAGGTTTTTATGTTCTTGTTGAGTTTTAAGAGTTCTTTGTATATTTTGGATAATAGTCTTTTATTTGATATGTTTTTTACACAGAAATTCAGTTTCTCATGTCAAAATTGTTTAGAAGTATTCTCTCCCTGTTTTCTTAAAGAGTTTATCTATGATTGTATCCTTGTCTGGTTATTGTATGATTATATCCTTAAATGAGAGAATTTGCCAATGAGTTAGCAGGGGATGGAGGATTTTATTTGGTGGGTCTATTTTGAATGTAAACTGAATTTCGGGCTATTCAAATTTTCTAGTTTTAGTGTTTTTTGTAGTGTGTTTTTCAGTAATTGTTTCCTTTTTGCTATTAAAAATTTTTTAAACATTTCTTTAAAATTATTTTTTAAAAATTGAGCTAGGCTCATTTCTTCCTCAAAGGAAGAGGTAAAGAGAATGCTATATAGCAAAAAAATCCTAATGCATTATGGAATGGAGCATTTGGGTTAGTAGACTATTCTGATTACTTTACTTGTGATTTTTTTCTAGAGTTCTATGTTCTAGTGACTTAGAACTTGTTATATGTATTTAGTTATAAAGGTTAAGATTTTATTGAAAAAAGCTTTTGTAAACTTCAACTGTAAATATAGAAGATAGAGGAAATGGAATCTTGTGGTGTGTTATTTTTGACATTTGTTTTTCTTCAAACAAAATGGTTAAAAACAGAAGAATCACTTTGCTTAGAGGGTCTGTATAATTTCAATTGGTAACAATCAGCCATTTAAAAAAATTAATTTGTGAAAAGCTGTATTTTTTATTCCTTAAATACAACTATTTTGTTATCTTTTTTAAAAGGTAAATGGTTTGGAATCCAAAGATTATCTGCAGGTTTGTCTTCGAGTAAGACCATTCACACAGTCAGAAAAAGAACATGAGTCTGAGGTTCGTGTTGAATTTAATTGGGTTTTAATATTTTACTTTCATTAAATGGGCAGAATACCATTGTTTTTATTTATTGTGGATTTACGTATGTAAATATATGTGTTCTAGGGCTGTGTGTATATTCTGGATTCACAAACAGTTCTGCTTAAAGATCCTCAAAGCATCTTTGGTCAGTTAAGTGAAAAAGGCTCTGGGCAGATTGCACAGAAATTCAGTTTTTCTAAGGTAAGTACCTATGTGAAACTAGAGATTTTCGTTTTAAGAAAAGGGGGCTTGGCACAGGCTAAACCACTACATAATTGTATTTAATGAACTATGTACAATACTATGCTTATAGAACTTATATCTTAGGTGCTGTTTTTTTTTTTCCTCAGTGATTTCACAATTGAAAGTGAATAAAATTACTGTACAGTTCTTATAATTCTTTTTTTTTTTTTTAATGTTCTTTTCAGAATTTACATGAAAACTTGAGTAACTAGGTCTCATTTTTATCTTGAAAACTTCCTGGCAGTAGTTTTCATAGCCTATCATTTAAATGTATTTGTAGCAGTTGGGGATATGGCAACTTTTAAAAATAAATCTTATAAAACAAAACTTTTTAATTTTTAAAACATGAAATAGAGGTTAAAACTCATTGTGAATTTTCTAAGAAGACTTGTTTTTAAAAAATGCTTATTTAGGTTTTTGGCCCAGAAATTACACAGAAGGAGTTCTTCCAGGGTTGCATTCTGCAGTCAGTAAAAGACCTCTTGAAAGGACAAAGTCGGCTGATTTTCACTTATGGACTAACCAATTCAGGAAAAACATACACATTTCAAGGTATGTTGTTTTTGGGAAAGAAATAAGCACTAATATTTACTCATTTTCATAATACCTTCATGTAGTCATGCTTTCATTACCTAGTACATTTGATTCATTTTTAATAGTAAGAATAGCACATTGAATGTGTCTTGTTGATGGCTTTTGATTCTGATTGATTTAATTCATTTGTGAAACTAATTTGCTTGTATGGTAGAGAATTAGATAATAAAAATTCAGGAAAAGGGTTGATGTGACATAGTGAATTAAGCATGGATAACCAGGGAAACACTTTATATTTCATTTTACTTTTATACTTTGTGATTATGGGTGATTGCAATCTTATGGCTTGATCTGAATGTAAAATTTCAAGTTTTGCATCAGAATAATAGTTGATAAAATATGGGTTATACAATGAAGACCACAGTCATGGAAAACTGAGTAATTCTTCAACTTCTCTTACTTTTGTCTCCGCTGTTTACTGTTGCCTGTTGGTGGCATAAGAGGAGTCTTGGTAGGCCAGGAATGTTTCTGCTTTCCTAATACTCTGAGAGAGTATAAAACAAAAATTCTTTTCACAGGTACCGAAGAAAATGTAGGCATTCTGCCTCGAACTTTGAATGTATTATTTAATAGTCTTCAGGAAAGACTATATACGAAGATGAACCTTAAACCACATAGATCCAGAGAATACTTACGGTTATCACCAGGCGAAGAGAAAGGAGAAGTTGCTAGCAAAAGTGCATTGCTTCGGCAGATTAAAGAGGTGTGGAAGTATTTTAGTATGTAAAATTTATACAAGTAATGACCTTTTATAAGCTCTTTAGTTTGTTTCAGCCTAAATTGGGATGTTTTGTGGTGATCGTTGAGGTTCTTTTTGAGAAAAATATTTAAAGTTTGACATCTCTTCTTATTTTCTATTGAACAAATAGCAAAACTGCCTAAACAGTGCAAATGTAAATGGTTCTGAAATCTTTTTTGGTTATTGTAGAAATAACATTGTGCTTTCTATATAATGGTTAAAGATTTTTTTTTAATTGTAAAAGTAGTATGTAGACAAAAAATTTAAAACATGGGAATGTGAAAAATTGTAATTCCATTTCCAAAGAGAAACCACCATTAACAGATTGGGAAGTATACTTTTTGATCTTTTTTTTTTTCTATATAAAATCTATGTATGGAGCTTTCTAAATAGGTCTGCCTACACATATAAGCAGTCATATATGTATCTGCATGTATTTCATATCTTTGTATGTAGGATATAGTCTTTTTAAGAAACAAAAATGAGATTTTACTGTACATACATTCTGTAACTTGCTCTTTTATTTAATACATATTAAGTCTCTTACTACCTTAATTCATGTGTGTTATCTGTTGATTATGTATTTACATATTTTTTCTTTTTTTAAATTATTTTTTCATGAAACAAATTTTTATGAAGTTATACTTGTCTATTTATTCCTCCTGTTGCTTCTAGATTTTTGTACTTTCAGACATTTATCCTATTCAAGATTGTTAAAACTATTAACACTTTTTATAGATATTTTCCAAATATTGATGATACTTTGTTTTTTTTTAAGACATTTAGAAATCAGGTTTCAACATAATAAAAAGTTACTCAGTGTAGTTGAAAGTTCAGATTCCATGATTATGGTCTCTGGAAGTAAAATAGTATTTTAACAAAAATTACAGAGATTAATGGATAATTGCATAGATAATTCTTAGAGGAAAGAATTAATACTAATTAATAATGAAAAGGTTTCTCTAACAAGGTGTCCAGTTAAAATGTTATTTTGCCTATGAAATTATTTAAAAACTTCAAAAATGAGACACACACTTTCATACATTGTAAAATGTGTTTCTAGAAAGCAATTTGACAATACTGTATTAAGAGTGAGAACTGAGTTTCCTATTTTTCTACCTACCAGTACAGATTTAGGTATATATACTAAGGAAATAATTAGAATGCAGAAGAAGAGATAATATATTAAGGTGTTTATTGTAGGATTTTTTATATTAGTGTTATTTTTACTGACAAAACTTTGTAAATCTACATGTTCAGGAATAAGAGAATAATTCACTTCACATCTGTTCAGTTGTGCAGCCACCAAGTGTTTACAAATAATTGTTAATTATAGAAAGATAAAGCTTATAATGTAGTAAGTGTGGGGAAAGAGTAGAAGGGAATATATTGAAATACTGTTATTAATTGCCTCTAAGTGGCATGGATTATATGTGATAATAGTCTTTTCAATATTCTTCTGTAGTTCCCTAAATTTTCTATTATGAGAATTATTATATAATGAGGAAAAAATTAAAGAAGTTATTGAATTGAGTAGATGAAAAGTTGTGGTTTGGTGACTTATTTAGATGGGTAATTTATATATATATATATACACACACAAGGTAATAAATCTTAACTAAAGAATGATTTTTAACTTAAAAAAATCCTTCTTTTTTAGGTTGTTACTCATCATGATAGTTATGATACTCTTTATGGTAAGTTTTCCTTTCTTGCCTTTAAAATGTTGATTACATGAGATATATTGAAAAGCTTTTAATTTTTGAATCCTAGTTATTTAATTTCTTTAATGACTTAGTATTGTTTGGGAAATGGCACATAACTATATGAAATGGCAGTCACTCTAAAGTTTTATTTGGATTTAATAACACAGGTATCCCTTTTACTGTTTATAACTTTCATGCTGAATTCAAGAGAGATTCTGGTTTTTCTTTGTCCTTTACATTTAATTTCAATTTGATTCATTAGTATATTTTCAAAAAGAAAAAAGATAAGAGCCATACTTTGATTAATGCAAATAGTATTTACATTGCTTTGGTCCAAAAAGTGTTTAAAGGGCTGGTCAGAATATTAAGGATACTTACTTAGTTTTTCAAGTCCAAGGAGTCTTGACCTGTCCTGGTGTATCATTTTTAGTCAGTTGCTTAATTTCATAATTAATCCTTTTTTATTTCTTGCAGGAAGTTTAACAAGCTCTTTGAATAACCCAGAGTTTGAAGAATCCATGCAAGATTGTGAACGAGCTAGTTTGAATACTGTTAATAATATAAAATTTTCTGTGTGGGTTTCTTTCTTTGAGATTTACAATGAGTGCATATATGACTTGTTTGTTCCTGTATCATCTAAATTCCAAAAGAGAAAGATGCTACGCCTTTCCCAAGATGTAAAAGGCTATTCTTTTATAAAAGGTATACTACTGAGTATTTTTTATTGTATTGCTCTGAAGTTTCTTTCTAAGTTTTATTGTAACTATTGGAGAGTGAGCTAGTAATTGAAAACTTTTATGCTAATTACTAACATCAAGATAGGAAGTATGTTTTGGTATGTTAATTAAACCTGAATATAGAGGGGTCTATTATAGTATTGAGTTTGAGTATCATTTGTTAGATTTAGGGGGATAGGAAAAGCTCTGTGTGTTGATACATCATTCTGCATTTTAACAGTGTCCACTGAGATATTTAAAACAGGTTTTTGGAGCTATGGGAATGTTTTTTTTCCCCCCATGGTGGTGTTTTTTCATCCATTTTACACCCTATTCACAGAAATACATACATATTAGTAACATCATGACCTGGTGCCTGCATATGTATGTATGTATGTGCATATATATTTACAATTCGAAAGTTTAATTTTACTCTCCCTACTACAAAGGATGCACTTTGATGTTTTCTATATTCTATTCATTTTTATAAAATGATGAATATGACTCAATTTTATTTTATGATTCAGTAATGAATTGCAATGTCTTAGAGCTAGGTAATTTTAGGCTTAATTTGTATTGTGTTTTGTCTCCCCCCAATCCCCACATGTCTAATTCTAAGGAATCTTACTATTTTTAATTTTCCCTTTGGCTGACTGTTGAAGAACATTTACTTTGTGTGTTTGTATAACTTAAATACTGGAAAATCATAATTTCCTCTTTTGTGTACTTCTTTTTTAGTGGAACATGGAATAATTGAGTTGACTCCACCTAGGGCATGATATTGAAAGAAAAATTTTGTTATATGTCTTCGGGAAAAGAGATTACAAATATTCAAAAAAATTACATTGTACAACAAATGCTGTGTGTTTAAAAACTGATATGTGTCCTCTTTATTTTTAAAGATCTACAATGGATTCATGTATCTGATTCCAAAGAAGCATATAGACTTTTAAAACTAGGAATAAAACACCAGAGTGTTGCCTTCACAAAACTGAACAATGCTTCTAGCAGAAGGTAAGCTCTGTGGCCTAAGCTGGAAGCACCTGGGGTATTCTATGTTAATTTAAATACAACTAATCTAAGATTAAAGTGGACAGTGGGTTCTCTGATAGGTTAAGTGAATTCACAGACATAGAAATATTCTGTAAACTGAAGAGCACTAAGCACATAAGATTATCAGGACTATTTCTTGTTCTAACATAAGATTTACTAGTTTTTCACAGTCTCTGAGATATGTTTACTCTTTATGTGGATATCTAAGCTTGGTATTTTAAGAGTTGCCTACAATGATGGACGTTTCTCTGTGTCTTTCTCACCCGATGAACACAGACAATATATGCATACTGAGTTAGGCTAAAAAATCAAGGGGTTAAGGGAAGATATTTTTCATGTAAGGGATTGGAGGATGAGAGCAAGAAAAAATACATTTAAGCAGTGAGATATTTAAAACAGATTTTTTTTTTTAAGGGGTAAAGAGCCCTGTTTCCTATACTCAGTATGGCATGAGGATAATACATGATCCACATAAACCTATATTTAGGCCAGATGTTTTGCTTTAGTTATTTATTCAAAGATTACCTGTATATAACACCAATTAAAAAATAATATCTTTATTCAAAGAATTTTACCAGTACATAATACCATTTTAACAAATAATGTGTTCTTTATAAGCAAATTGAAACTTTTTAATAAATGATTCCATTAATAGAAGTTGGAATGCTAAGAGGAGTTGACTTGAGGTATTTGGCATTTAGTGAAAGATACTGTAGTTGGTTTAAGGCAGTGAGGTAGGTAGATGATGTAGAACACTGGATTTAAGTATCTTGCAGCTAGTTGGAAAACGCGTTGTTGGAACTATAACTAGCATTAGGATATAAGTAAGTGTTGATTTAGATGTTTGCTTACTATTTAGAATGCAGAAATAAAATGATAACATTTGATTTTGTGTATTTCTTTCAGTCATAGCATATTCACTATTAGAATATTACAGATTGAAGAAGATTCTGAAATGCCTCGTGTAATTAGAGTCAGTGAGTAAGTTGAACATTCTTTAAGTTGTAATTAATTTTGAATTGTTTTGTTTTAAAGAACTTTTAAAGCCCTTTTTTTTTTGGTTAATTCAGATTGTCTTTATGTGATCTTGCTGGTTCAGAACGAAGCATGAAGACACAAAACGAAGGTGAGAGGTTAAGAGAGACGGGGAACATCAACACTTCTTTATTGACTCTTGGAAAATGTATTAATGTTTTGAAGAACAGTGAAAAGTCAAAGTAAGTGTTGCTAAAAGTGTTAATAGCATATTAAGATACTTGAACTTTCAACTTGGCTAGTTTTATTTAGAAAGTTCTTTTTTGTTCTTAACCTGCTCATTATCTAATGACTACATATGGATTACAAGGAAAATACTTAGATATTGGATTAAAATAAAAAGTTAGTTGATGCCAGTGACTCATTAAGTATAACACAGTATTTTTCATAGCAAATATATACCAGCAGACTTTAGATAATAAACTTCTTGTGATACTGCTTTAGCATTTAAAACCACTTTATTCCTACTAATGAATTGTGTTCTTTAGATGTGATAGATTTCTGCATTAATTAGCATTTTAGGCTGAGTAAATCATAAATCTGCCTTCATCTAATTAAGGTGTTTCATTACATGTTGTATAATTGCTCTGCATTAGAGAATACAACCCAATTCAATGTGGTTTCCTTACTAACATTTTGCCTACTGGATTATTGTTAGTAGTAGTAATAGCATATAGTAATTAAAGCAACATAAATAAATAGAAAATGACAATTACAGGTGAAACTAATCACTAACCTAGAATTTAAGTCTGTGATTGTGAGATTAATTATTTCTTTGTAAAATTTATTAGTATCCTGACTTCATGAGATTTGTTTTAACTTAAAATTTTTAAAAATCTTTTTCCATAGGTTTCAACAGCATGTGCCTTTCCGAGAAAGTAAACTGACCCACTATTTTCAAAGTTTTTTTAATGGTAAAGGGAAAATATGTATGATTGTCAACATCAGCCAGTGTTGTTTTGCCTATGATGAAACACTCAGTGTGTTGAAGTTCTCAGCCATTGCACAAAAAGTAAATATATTGAAACTTATGCAGAATTTATTGAGCCTCTTATTAGAATATTAGTGATTTTTTTTTGGAGTAGGTAAATACATTTTGCACTTATAAATGTAGACCTAGGAAATAATTGAAAATTAAAAATGTAGATATTTGTCTAAGTAGGAGGACATGGGAAAAGATTGAAAGTTACCTCTGCTAGGATTAAAATGACACAGTAATGAGTGTTAATAGTGAACACCCATTATAAATTATGAGTATCCTTAGAATTAATTGTCTGCTCTGCCATTTGTCTGGTTCATCTAGTGGCATCTGTCTAGTTCATGGGGAAGACCCCTGCTAGGAGTAGTACTAAGAATTTAGCTCAGTAAAGTAAATTTACTTGTACTATACATGTGTAATTAGCTTTTTTCTTATTGGAATGTTAATTTAAGGATGCTAGTTCCTTATTCTTTGTTGGTTTGTGTAGGTTTTTTTTTTTTTTAACACAAATTGTCTTAAATTTACAAAACTGTTTTTTAGTGGACAGCTCTTGCCTTTTCTGCTTTAAAAGTCACATTGGATATTTTAACAGGTTTGTGTTCCAGATGCATTAAATTCCTCTCAAGAGAAATCATTTGGACCTGTCAGATCTTCTCAAGATGTATCACTAGACAGTAGTTCAGATAATACAATACTAAATGTAAAAAGGTCCATGATTTCATGGGAAAGTGGTCTAGAAGATCTGGTGGAAAATGAAGATTTGGTTGAGGATATAGAAAAAGCTGAAGAAAACCAAAATGTGGAAACTGAACCTACTGATGAAGATCTAGATAAAACATTAGAGGAAGATAAGGCTTTCATTAGCCATGAGGAGAAGAAAGTATGTATTAACAACTCATATTTCTAAGCTTGACTTATTAGTATTCTGAAGTTAGGGTTAACAGTTTTTTTTTTTGAGAGGGCATCTCTCATATTTATTGATCAAATGGTTGTTAACAACAATAAAATTCTGTATAGGGGACTTAATGCACATTCATTAATCAACCCCAAGCCTAACTCTCAACAGTCTCTAATCTTCTGAAGCATAATGAACAAGTTCTTACATGGTGAACAAGTTCTTACATGGTGAACAGTGCAAGGGCAGTCATATCACAGAAACTTTTGGTTTTGATCACACATCATGAACTATAAACAATCAAGTCAGATGTGATTATTCATTTGATTTTTATACTTGATTTATATGTGAATCCCACATTTCTCCCGTATTTTTGATTTTTATTTTTTTAAATAAAATGCTGAAGTGGTAGGTAGATGCAAGATAAAGGTAGAAAACATAATTTAGTGCTGTAAGAGGGCAGGTGTAGATGATCAGGGCTTAACAGTTCTTAAGGCTCTCTCACTTCCACCTTTCTCAACAGTACATGAAATCTTTTATATTTCAACTTTGTATTTTGAAAAATTTTAACATATAGAAAAACTAGGACAATTAACATTCATTCACACTTCATCTGGATATGCCTTGTTGACATTTTACCATATTTACTTTAATTCTTTTTCTGAGTATGTAAATATACTTTTTTTTGCCTGTACCATTTGAAAACACAATGTAGACATAATGCTTCAGCTTATATTTAAAAAGAACAAGGACATTTTCTTCTAGATCACAAGATGTTTTTCATACCTAAGCAATATAACGTTGATACAATAATACCATCTGTTATACTGTCTATGTTGAGGTTTTGCCAGTAGTTCCAGTCTGTCCTTTATAGCCACTTTGTTTGTTTTTGATAGACAGCCAGAGTTAACACATTGATTTTGATTGTCATGTTTCTTTGGTTAGCTATAATCTAGCGTAGATATTTTTGGAAAGTTGAAGCTAGTTGTAGAGAATATCCTCAATCTGGATTTGTCTGATTATTTCCTCATAATTCAGTATTTTTTTCTTCGGTGAGCTAACTTTAAAAAAAAATTTTATTAAAGTATCATTGATATACAATCTTATGATGGTTTCATATAAACAACACAGTATTATCAAGTCCTCATCCCCTCTATTGTGGTCACTGTCAGCATAGTAAGATGTGATGAGTCATTGTGTTTTCTGGGCTGTACTGCCCTCCCTTTGACCTACCTATATTGTGTTTGTGAATTATAGTGCCCCTTAATCCCTTTCTCCCTCCCCTCCCACCATCTCCATCCCCTCCCCTTTCATAACCACTAGTCCCATCTCAGTGTCTTTATATCCACTGCTATTTTACCAGGTAGAGTAGTCTTTGTTGGAGGCCCTTCTGTGTCATTACATTAAATATATCATGCTACTCCCTTCTGGCCTGTAAGGTTTCTGCTGAGAAGTCTGCTGATAGCCTGATGGGGTTTCCTTTATAAGTGATATTTTTTCCCTCTCAGGCTGCTTTCAGTACTTTCTCCTTGTCCTTGATCTTTGCCATTTTAATTATTGTATGTCTTGGTGCTGTCTTCCTAGGGTTCCCTGTGTTGGGAGATCTCTGCACTTCCATGACCTGAGTGACTATTGCCTTCCCCAGATTGGGGAAGTTTTCAACAATTACTTCCTCAAAGAGACTTTCTATCCCTTTGTCTCTCTTTTCTGGTACCCCTGTAATACAAATATTGTTACGTTTGGATTGGCCACACAGTTCTTTCAATATTCTTTTATTCCTAGAGATTCTTCTTTCTCTCTGTTCCTCAGCTTCTTTGTTTTACTGGCCTCTAATTTCCATTTCATTCTTCTCTATATCATTTAATCTACTTTTAAATCCCTCTATTGTATGTTTCATTTCAGATAATCTATTTTTCAAAGTTTCTGTCTCTTTGTGAAGCCCTGCCTGAGATCTTGAATATTTTTCTGTAGCTCTGTGAGTATGTGTACGACTTTTATTTTGAAATCTATCAGGAAGATTGGCGATTTCAGTTTCACTGAGTCCTCTTTCTAGTGTTTTTTCTTGTTATTTTGTTTGGACCAAATTCCTTTGACGCTTCATTTTTTTTTAGTGTTTCCTATGGAATAATAGCCTTGTGTAGGCGGCGACCTCTAGTGCCCAGAATCTCAATTCCCTGTGCGGGAGCCCCAGCTGCTGAAGAGCAATGGTTGTGGTACCTTTCTGCATTGCTTGTAGTAAGCTTTTTGGGGCATCAGCTGATTGAGTGGGCAGGGGGAATACTCTGGAGCTGCCGTGTGCCTGCAGCAGTGGTGGGGGTCAACAGGCGAGTGAACCAGTGCTTGTTGGAAGGAAGGAGCTTGGCAGGGAGGGTTTCCTGCCATTGCAGCTGTATCGCCTGTCTCCACTGCTAGGTCAAGTGGGCTGTGCACACAGGAAGGAGTCACTGTGCTATGCTCCTGTAGCTTCCATGGGTGGGGCCACCCTTCAGCAGGCCTGGTGTGATGGCAGGGGTGGCAGGTGAGTGGGACTGGCGCCTACTGGGAAGAAGGAGCAGCAGGCTGCATACTATAGCTGGGGGACTCAGTGCTGTATTGCCAGCTGGGGATGGAGCATCTGAAGCCGGTGAGAGTTCCCAACCTGCTGGGGTGAGCATGCTGGGAAGGTTTTGTCCGCCTGCCCTTTGTCCTGAGCAGAGAGCTCTGTGTAATCTTTCCCCCTTTAATACTCCTCTTGCTGCCGGGAAGTCCCTCAAATTGCCCACCTTTCTTTTGTCCCAGGGGGCCGGTAGTGCATACCTGTTTTCCACAAGTGGCTAGAATCTCAGCCTCTCCAAGTGTTCTGCCCATCTTTGCTTTCCAGCCTCACCAATCTCCAGAGCACCATGTAATGTGGGTTTGTGCTCCTGGAACAGATCTCCAGGGCCAGGTGTTTAGGGGCCCTTGGCTTCTATTCCCTCCCTGGTCCACTCCTCTTTCCGTCAACCTGTGGACTGGGGTGTGGAGAGGGCTTGGGTCCTGTCGGATTGCGACTTTGCCAATTTACCCTTTTCTGTGAGGTCTTCTCTTCCCCAGATTTAGGCGGACTGTTCTCTAATCTTCAGGTCTCTTTTTCAGGATTAGTTGTATTTGCTGTATTTTTGTGTTTTATGTGATTTTGGGAGGAGGTTTCTGCCTTGCTTCTCACAGTGCCATCTTTTTCCCTGCCACTTCACAGTGAGCTCCCTCATAATTCAGGTTTAACACTTTAAGCAAGCCCATTAGGTAAATTTGTGAATTTCCCATTGTATCACCTCAGGAAACATGATGTCTGATTTCTCCATTCTTGGTGTGTTAAAAGTTTCTACTCACTGGTTAAGGTGTTGTGTTTTCAGATCTCTCTTGTAAAGCATATCTGTGGGATGATATTTTGAGACCATGTGAATATTTATTCCACAGTATCCTTTCACCCAGTGATTTTAGCATACTCTACCAGACTTTTACTTTGCAGTGTTAAGTACAAGTGTTCAAAATATCTACCTAGTACCAATTATTTTATTTCTTCAAAGACGGAAATTGCTTGTTCATCTTATAAAATTTATGGTAAATTAGTAAGATCAACAGTGGTTCTTTTAGCCCCTGTCCAAATACATTTCACACATATATATAAGTTGTATTTATCCTGAAACTTAGATCATGCCTGCATTAACTGGCCATGAGGGGAGCCTCATGGAGCCTTCTTACTGATGTTCTAGGAACACTAGTAACCCTGTGCTCACAGATGGTGCTGTATATCGTATTATTTTTTTGATAAAAAGAATGATAAAAGTCTAAACAGATTGATGATGTATTGGGTTAAATACTCTAATTTTAGTAATTTACTTAAGTGTCTCTGAAAGTCATCATTGTACCTGTATTGTTTGGAAGTAAGAATGAAGGCTTCATATGCTACTTGTCCCAGTTTATTTGGTTTCTGTGTGATTGGACCTTGTTTACCTTGGGTCTCTAATATAGTACTTCCCTCAGTAACAGATGGGGCTATTAATCATCTTATTTTGTTTTGTACTGGTCTTCTTAAAGCTGAAGTTTATATATAATGTCAAATTTGAAATGTTAGTAAAGTTCCTGAATTTGCTAGGGAAAAATAATGCTGCAGTTTGTAATGGATTGCATGTGTAAATGTATATCTTCTTATAATATTGACTAGGTATTTAAAAAATTTCATCAATGTTTTTTCTAATATTTGACTTTTAAAAACAAAAATGATAAGCTTTGCATACTTTATTTTAGCATTTTAATTGGAGAATAAGGAGTATTAAAAATCATTATGAAATAAAATTTCATATTTATACTTAAAATTCATTTAGTTAGAATAACCAACTAGACTTTTTTCAGCAAGAACTTTATCAGATGCTAACAATGATAAAGTAATTGTTTGAGGACTTTAAACATATTCATGAAGATTTCTCCCAAGTCTCCCACAGCTCTTCTTTAGTTGTTACTTTTTATTTTAAACAGTGGGTGAGTGTGTGGTGGTTTAAAGTTATAAAAGTATTATATAATCATAGTGAAATCTGGGAAAAGGAAAAGAGGGAAAAAAATTAAATATAAAGATCTCCTATTTTAATGAATTTCACTACACATTACTGTTTTGTAATTTAATTTTTTTCATTTAACAATAAACTGAAAAGTATGTATTATTAATATAAATCATTATTCATTATAGTAGTTTATGATAGTATTATAATTGAACAAATCTCTTAATGTTTGACTATTGAATTAGGGCTTTTTTTCTTTATTTAAATATAACCACTACCACCAAATAACAACACTGTAATAACCATTCTTACAGTGAAAACACTGTGTCCTGTTATATAATTATTTCTTCAGTATAACTTCCTCAAAGTAGAATTCAAAGTCAGCATATCTTAGAAATATTTTCAAATATTAAACTGAGAGATTGAAGGATCTGTCACTTTAAGAGACTCTACTGGTTTAATTATTGTTGAGAAACTTTCATCAGAAACCTTTAAAAAGGATACCAGGCTGTTACCTTAATACTTGAACTTATTTTATTACAAATCTATACTAACCATGTCAAGTGTTAATTGCTTTATTTATTCATTGTCCATATTACATGATTGTGTATGTATTTTCAAAAGCTACAAAGTTGTTCATATTGGGTAGTTATAAAAGTTCTCAGTAAGTTAATGTAACATCTCTGTCATTTTGTTAAGTGTTTGGGGGTTCTTAGTAAGTATTTTGTGTACTTAGGCTTTAGATTTTTGACAGAGTAATTTAAAACTCAACCTTAAACATTTACCACATCCCTTGGTCCCTACTTTCCCCTCCTAAGAAATGTGGGTGCCACTACCAAGGTCGCAGAAGATTGTGTGGATTGCATGAAATCAAATATGAACTCCCCAAAGTAGTTCCTGTTGGATAAATAGGTGCTTACATTTTTCTTTCTTTATTTCTTAGTGTAGTTAGACAGCAAGACATTTTATTTTCTGTAAGTCTGTTTCTAAAATGTAGAGTCTCACCTGATTTTTCAGTTTGATGAATTTCTGCAAATACATAATTTTCAGTGAGAATATTATCAGTTTTAAAAGGATGCATAATTATAACCAACTTAATGAAAAGAGTTTTACTTTTGAACATTTGGACAGTATTTTTCTTGATATGTTTACTCTTTTATTAGAATTTTAATTTTATATGTTCTAGAAACTGTTGGATTTAATAGAAGATTTGAAAGAAAAACTGGTAAATGAAAGAAAAGGAAAGTTAACATTGGAATTTAAAATTCGTGAAGAGGTTACACAGGAGTTTACTCAATATTTGGCCCAAAGGGAAGCTGATTTTAAGTAAGTTACTTCTTTCATGTCCTGGGAAAAAATTGAGTATTTTATTTACTTGTTTTATTTTTTTAAACTTGTTTACTTATTTTATACTAGGTGGCCTTTGAATTTGCTGACCTCTTTTTCAGAATACAGGCTTGATAATAGCCGTTTCTAATCTCTGTGGTGATTCTGAATTACTTGAATGATTATTAAAATCTGCTTTTAATTTGTAATGTGTTTTATCTTAGAAATTTACAACAAAAACACAAAGTAGTGCTTTTTCTGTTTCCTAATGGGATTAATTTGTTATGAAGGGAAACTCTTCGTGAGGAACGAGAGAGATTAGAAGAAAATGCTGAATGTCGTTTGGCTATCTTCAAGGATTTGGTTGGTAAATGGAACACTCAGGAAGAACCAGCAAGGGAAGATCATGCCGTGAATGTTGAAACCGAAGTAGGTTAACTGAAGTATTAAACTCTGAGGTGTCTGGTACCAGGATTTAGTGTACCCATCAGTGATGAGAAACATTAATATGCTTTAGAATTTTAAAAAAACTTACTGTGTATCTTTATTATAATTAAGCATGCTTTGTTAGGAATGTAAGCACAGGTAGTTTAAATATAGCTATTGGACTTGAAAAATGTGTATCTCTGTTGCATTTATATCTTACTTTGGTGTTACTTGAGTCATATTGATTATAGGCAGACAGATTCCTTTTTGTCCGGTTATGGGATAGCCCTGTCAGATTTATCTTAAACTTACTAAATAATTTTAATGGTATAAGGGACCTAAAGGGTTATTTACTTCCTGCTCTAATTAAGATAAAAATATTTATATATAAAAAAGGATTGCTCTTGCTAGGTGACTGACCATTCCCTGCTGGTGAGGAAACATCTTTTTCTGCTGCTTCCACTAAAGCTGAAGTTGATCATGTCTTTTTGGGGTTACTGCTTGTTTTTTGTATTTTAATTACTCAGCTGAGGATGGTGATGTTCAGGTTCTTGCTTTCAGACATGGTTTGGTTCTTGGTCTGAGTTGTGAAAATGGAGGTTTGTTTCCTCTTGCTTGCCTTTTAAGACACATTATATAACTGAAAGCATACTTGAGCTTGATAATCATAATTGTTCTGTAATGACTTATCATAGTTTATGACTTTTTTAGAAATGTGGAAATATGTCTCATTTTCATAAAATAGAAAATGTGTAATGGAACACCATACTTTCTATATCATTTATTTAAAAAATTTTCAAGTTGTGAATTTTTTTTGCTTTGTGTTTTTTAAACTGTCTAAATGAGATGGTACCACCATATGAGTGTGAAAGCCACTGTTAATATTAGGCATGTAGTTTTTGCTATTTTTAGGAAGCACATAATTATGTAGGAATTGAAGATATTATTGATTCTCTTCAAGATGATGCCACTGATATTAAGAAACAGGCTGAAATTGCTCACTTATATATTGCATCTCTTGCTGACCCCCAGGAAGCTATGGCTTATTTAGAAATAAAGTTTGATCAAGTTAAAGCTGAATTAGCTAAAACCAAAGAAGAATTAATCAAAACCCAGGAAGAGTTAAAAAAGAGAGAAAATGGTAAGTAGACATATTTACCCATAATTAGATATTATAAATGCATAAAAATACAGTTGGTGAGCATAAGATTTATGCAGCTTATTTATCATAGTGACCATAAAATTCTTTGATCTAGGTATCATTTTTATGGCTTTTTAGTAATTTACTATTTTTTTTGTAAGTATTTTTTTGCCTTCATTTATTTTTAAACTAGTATTTTTAGGAAATGGATTTCTCAAAAATAAAACCGAACAAACCAAGTTAAGTATTAGCTTTTATCAGCAAATTAAGCAGTCTCATAGGAAATTGTAAAGCTATAAATTTTGTTCTGTATTCTGTATGAACTCACCTAGTGTAGTAGATTCTGCCCTGGGCTTGCAAGTTTGGGACAGAGTGATTCCTGTGGAGTGGTCTTGAGAAATCTGTTAGATTGGTGCTTCATTCTGGCTCCAAGAGCATTACGTATATATGTATATGTACACATGTGTATCGTCCCATTTGTGCTTCTAAGAGAGTTGGAAGAAATACTCTGCTCTTTTCTGTATGAGATGAAATGGGTAGAGAATAGCAGGTAGGTGGTGCATCTACATTATGGAGTGGATTAGAAGGGTACTAGCTCCTTTTCTTCTCTGAAGTTATACCAGAAAAATTTTTACTATTTAGTATACATTATTCATTTTTCCCCTGAGTGTCAAAAGTGGCTTTTTCAGAAGCATTACACCCTCTGGTGGTAGAATTAGTAGCTGAGTAATCCTTTGACAGTAGCTGTCAAAATCCTTCTTCCTGAATGTTAACACTAGTTAAAAGTTATCTGCTATAGTAGCTCCTGTTTCGTGATTATTCAATGGTGTATTTTTTTAGATGCTTATGTGTTTATTTTCAATATTCTTATTTTTTTCAGAATCAGAAATTAAGTTAAATTCATTGGTTCAAGAGCTTGCAAAATCTAATAAGGTAATATGTTAAACTTTATTTTGTCTTGATAAGAAACTTAAGTAAGTGAAGGGGCATGAATTATAACAGTGTACATTTATTTTTAAAATTATTAAAGAGTTATAAAGGAATGTGATTTAAAAAATATTGAAAAATATAAGAGCCTTCAGCCTTACACCTCTTTTCAGTGATGGCTATTGGGAAATTTCCTCAGTCCTCCAGAAAATATGTATTTATACAGTTCAGTCTTGAACAATATGAGTTTGAACTTCACAGTCCACTTATATATGGATTTTTTCACTAAATATAATGGAAAAATTTTTGGAGATTTGTGACAATTGAAAATTATTTCCTCTAGCTTTATTGTAAGAATATAGTATATAATACATATAACATACAAAAAAAATGTTAATTGACTTTATGTTATTGGTAAGGCTTCTGGTCAGTAGTAGGCTATTAGTAAAGTTTCTGGGGAGCCAAAACTTATATGTGAATTTTCTGCTGCTCACAGGGATCACTGTCCCTAACCCTTGCATTGTTCAAGGGTCAGCTATATATAGACAATGCATACACATATATATATACCCTTTAAAAAGTTTTGCAAAAGTAATTGTAGTTCTGTCTTGCTTTCTTCCCTCAGAAGAGGGAATTCTACATCAGCACATACAGATCTATGTCATTTTTTTACTAGATGTATGGTGTCAATTAGATATATTTAAATGGTGTTTATTTTATCTGAAATTACTGACTTTCAGAATATGGAATACTGCCTTAACAGTGTGCTGATCAGAGTTCTGAGATCTCTGGTACCTTGTACCTTTGATCAGATAATTATTCCAAATGTTTGTAGATGAATTTGACATTGATACAGTTATAAATATAAAACTTCAAATGTACATAGGAGTGATATGAATTTAGCCCTCTAAACTTACTATTTTTCCTGACCTTCTCTGGCATGAATCTTATTTTAACTTATATTTATTCTTCTAAAGAGCTAAATATTTTAAAATACGATCAGATATAAATAATTCAAGATCTTATATCTATTATTCAATATTTAAAGAAGTAACCAAAATAATGTACTCAGCAGAGGACTCTACAGCTACTCTTTAGACAATTCCTAATTGTTTCCTTTATTTTTTCCAGTTATTCAAATAATAGGTGCTAGTTGTAAAAATTCAGTTATATTAAACTATGTAAATCAGAAAATGAGTACCCTGTAATCTTCCTCCTAAATTAAAGTGAAAATCAACAAGTTAGTTTGGTAGCTCTTTTATTTACTTCATATATATTTATGTTTATAGAACACTTGCTATGTACTCTTTTAAGTGATTTACATATATGAACTCATTTAAATCTCAACAGCTTTGTAATATATGTTATTATTTTTTATTTTTACAGAGATGTAAATAACTTGCTCAGGGTCACAGCTTTAAGGTAGAGTAGCTAGGATTCAAAGCCAGACAGTGTGTTTCCAGGGTCCACTTACCCAGTATGCTATATTGCTTCTCTTTCCTTTGTTATATAAACATGTTAATTTTTAAACAAAGGTAAGGTCATGCAATGCAAAGTGTTTTGCTGCTGGTATTTTTCTTAGTCTTAAAATTTGAAGGAATTCTAAAACTGCATCACATTTACATTTTAGTTATCTTAAAATATATTTATTAAACATTGCTATTTTTCTTCTTTCTCAAGAAAATAATTATGCAGAATCAAATAATTCAAGAGTTGATAAGTATAATTGATCAAAAAGAGCATACTATCAACACATTTCAGAAACTAAAGTTTTGTATGGAAAGTACATTTAAAAGCAGTGGAAGAATTTAACTTTGCATTATAAATTATATTACAAGGTCTATTTTTGTTCAAAATAAGATAATTTAAAATAGATTATATAATTTAAGATTAATTTACTAAGCATGTTGGATTATTCTGGTGTGAAATTCAACTTAACTATTGTGCAAATCTGGATTCTTAAGAATTTACAGGAGGGCATTTGATGTCTTTGAACATAACCCACAAACTATGCTGACAGTGCTTTTCACATAAGAGGGAGGAGAAAATGTAGTCTTTGGAAGGTTAAGCTTCAGCTGATTGGAAGCGGGCCTCTGGGTGAAGGGAACTTAGATGTGCTTAGGTATCCATAGATCATAAAGCTACCTATCTGTCCATATCTATATAGAATTATAAATGAAATTGAGTGGCATTAGATTTTCTTCTTCAGAGGCTTGTTTATTATATGCATTTGTGTCACTATTCACATGCTTTTAGTATACTTAATAGACTGAATTTTTTTTAGATTACATTATGTACTGTGGCATGTAAAGCCTTTAAGCGTTTCATAAATGCAGATCTAAGTAATTTCGTATTTATTTGGTTTAGGATGATCAGCGCATCTTTAAACAATGGTTTCTGGTTTCCTTGTTTTTATTGTAAACTCCTTTAAATCATTTTTTGAAGTAGAAATGGTAAACACATGGCAATAACAAGAGTTTGAGTAAACTGATAACCAATCCTCTTCACTTTGTTTAGAGGTGATTTTGTGTGTCTTTTCTCTGAACCAGAAGCAGCAAGAATGGTATTTTGTAAAAAATGACTGTTGACCTTTCTTTTTTGTAGCTTGACAGTCAAACTGCAATACACCAATTCTGATGATTCTCTGAACCATCTCAACATTAGATGGCTTTTGATACTACAGGGGTAAATAAGAAACATTCTAGAAGAATAGCTTATCCTTTGGTTTTTTTTTTTTTTCTTTTAGTTAACCTTTGTTTAATTTCTGGTAGCAGACCTCTCTTTGGACATTTACTAGATTTGTTATTCAGTCTGTCTGACTTTTTTGTACTCGAACTGGGAGAACCACCCTTGTAATAAAGGTAGAGAGTAAGGATGAGAAGCATGAAATAGTTTATTTCAGTCATTTCATTGAGTGTCTGCCATGTTGCCAGGTACTGTGCTAGATAGATTCTGGAAGTTACATGGATTAATAAAAGTAGTTCCCTTAAGAACTCCCCAGTAAGAGAGAAACCACTTTGACATAATTATAATGAAATAATGCAGTGGTAGTCAGTATATGCAAGAAGCTGAGAATAGGAGGGAGTTTAGGGGACACTTTCTGGAGATGGAAATGATTAAGTTGAGCCTTAAAGGGTGATTAAAACTTAGCCAATTGAAAGTATGGGGAGAGGGTAGTTCGAAGATGTGAGGGACAAAAAAGATACTCTGTTCTTCCAGGTATAGGAATCATAATGCACAGTCATGGAAATGTGAAGCCTTTCATTCAGTGTAGGAAAGTGCAAGCAATTTGTTGTTCAAGAAGAAAGTCTGAAGCAAGGAGAGGTGAGAAAATGAAGTAGGGAATAAGAGGTTGGGGTACAATGGTGGAAGGCCTTAAATACTGCATTAAAAAGTTTGGATTTTATTCTGCAGGCAGTGAGAAGTCATTACTTTTAAGGAGAGGAGTACTAAAGTTGAGTTTTTATTTTGTGTGGTGGTTTTTGGAGACTTGGAGGATGGGATTGAGATAGAATTACACTGGAGGAAGAGAGACCAGTTAGGAGCTTCTTGGAAGAGTTCAGGTGGTAGTTGATGAGGACTTTGATTTAGGGTAGTTGGATGGTACTGCTGGAGATTAAGAAAAGCAAACTGGTTTCTGAAATAAGGAGAGAGAAGACTTTTTGAGACTTGGGGTTGACTTTTGCCAGTAACTGAATTGCTGGGCCTCCAGTCCCTCTGCACTTTTATTTGGTTATTCACTTCATTCTCTGATCACTTGATTTGGATTTTAAGTCTGGCCTTTGGTTTGGTAAAAATGAGAAAAAGAAAAGCTAGAGACAGATCACTCTGGTGACTACAACTTCAAAGAAAATTGTTGGAAATACAACAAGGAATTATATTTATTTTTGTAGTATGTTTGCATACTGTAATGTGTTAGTAACGTTTAAGTAAGCAATAGTAAAAAAGCAATATCCATTAGGCAGTATACCTAGTGTAATGGTTCTTGCTTATAAATAAACTTTTTACATAGGCTCTAGACCTCACTATCAGCTAACTTAAAACTGTACTAAATTGAATTGTACACATAAACAACTGTGAGATAACTTGGAACTTAACCTGACTGTGCTGATTAACTGTTGGTCTAGGCTGATTAACTGTTGGTCTAGCAGATTCTTTCTAATGATGAAAAAGTTTATTTTGAATGGTGGTTCTTTATTGTCCTTCTAACCAAGCATACCTTAGAGGCAGAAACACTCCTGTTAGTAACTGCAAGTTGTGGAGGATAGATTTTTTTTGTTTTTGAAGATTGTATAGTTTGAAGGAGGAAAGTATTATCAGGTCATTCTGAGAGGTCTAAGAGTGGCAAAGGAGACAACTTGAACCTGTCATGGAGTGTTTGAAAGTTCTCACGCTCTGTCAGAGGTGTGATCTGCCTATCCCAGGATTTTGTCATTTATCGAATGACGCCTAGGGACTAACTGTAAGAAAACATGGAGTTTGTTCTTCCTGACATCTTCCATCTAATACCTAAAAAAACTTATTAATAACCCATTATTTTATGACTTAAAAAATCATTTCTTCTATATCTCCTAAGAATGAAACATTTGCTGATTTTATAATGTATAATGGCATTTTGTTTTTGCATACAATTTTTTTTTCTCCAAAATGGATTGCTTCCAGTATGCAGAAAGTTAAATAATCTCTATTTAAAAAATCCCTGCCTTTACCATACCTTTGATTACTCCATAGACTTACACTTACCTGCTGAGTTTCACCTTTACTCTTTCTGGATAATACTATATATTGTACCTTTTTTCTGTTTGCCTTTTAGGGAGACATAGTATTTGCCTTAAAACTTAAAAATCTAAATGATTTTTGTTACTTAGATAAACAATTTTAAAGCTGTATGTAAACTGTGTATCTTTGAGTATATACATAGGCTAGAAGCTAAAGTTAAAACTTTTTCTGAAAGTTGTTAAAATGTAAGATGATGCCACTTATTTTTGAGAGGTTTTGGTCACAGAAGAGTTGCTGAGTTTCTAGAGTGGGACCTCAAGATTTTAAGTAAAAATATTTATAAGAAACAGTGTCATTGCAGTGTTTTTGTATTTCTCTTTCCAAAACCCATTTTGAATGTAACTTAGAGTTAAGTATTTATGGTTTCTGTGGTTATCTTCAAACAAGTCTCTAACCTACATGATCACCTTAGGAAACTTAATATGAATTTATTTTTGGGTATCAGGCTGAAGCTACATGCTTGACTGATTTTAGGACAAATTTTTTTGTTTTCCTTAGTGAGTGTACAAATTAGTTAATATCACTCATTTGCCAGACCCATCAGTTATTTTGGGGGGAGACATAAACAGCTTAGAAAAGGTTTCAATACATTTTTATGATACACTACTGAAATATAATTTATGTAGTTTTTACATTTCTTATAGCTTTCTATATGTGAATTAATCTTTGTCTTACTTTAGGACGGGGCCGGTACATCTTTAATAATAAACAGTGAGTTGACTTGTAATCAAACAGTTGAAATGCCTGAGGACAACAAAGCTAAAGTATATTCAGGAAGAAAAAGATTAAGTGAAAATGAACTTCAACAAGATGAACCCCCAGCAAAGAAAGGTGCTACTTCATTTGCCAGCAGGAGACCTTAAGAAAGCTAATTCCTAAAGCAGTAAACAGAAAAGTTACAAATAGGAGAAAATTTACTGTCTGAGGAAAAACCTGAGGAAATCTAAACAGAACTGATTCTTATTCTGACATGTGATCAACTGCCCAGAGGATGGGCATATTTAGAGCTGTCCTTTGTTTTGATAAATATGTTTTTAGATATTGTGCTTTTATCACTTTTGCATGCCTATAATTCTTTTTACTTCTGTGCTTATAATGGTTATAACTTCCCACTTCAGTTTTCATAATTATAGTACCTTTTTCTGTAAAAGTCTCTCCACACTGTTTTCTTCCTCTGAATTCTGTATTCACTGGGAGACAAGGACATTTGCAGGTAAGACTTTGAGCTGAGCATTACTAAAGACAAATGTGCTTGAGTTGTGTTTACCACAGAATTACTAAAACAAGTGAATGTATATGCTGTATCTCCCTATTTATGTGGAAGAAATACCAACTTTTACATTCTAAATTATTCATTATTTCTTTTGAAAGACTTCTGTGGCCAGATACAGGGAGATAGGGCTTTCTAACAGAACGATATATTAGCTTTAGAAACCTGTCTAGCTGCTTAACCTTGAAAAATGGATGTTGTAAATTACTGAATAGTAATTTTACTAAAATAAATACCTGCCTCGTGAGGTTTGAAGGATGAAAACAATTGGGTACTACACCCATAAGCACTGTAGAGCCTGAGTAAAATAATATTTTCAGAAGTAGATGCCTTAAAGGATAGTATAGCATTAGATACATGGTTCGTGGAATGTATAGTGCTTGTGTGAGCTAATGGATTGAGACTAATATGCATATGCCTTCTGTCATCCATTGAAGGAGGGGTGTCTTTGCTTCTGGGAGGATAACCCTGCTATGATTTCAGTAGCATTGTCCCTCTCTTTCACCTTGGTTATTGCCATAGATTAGTTGAGAATATAGGATCAGTAGATCACTAGGAAGTGGAATTGGCTGGGAGCAAGTGATGTACACAGTGTGACTAATCCTAAGGGTACCCATTCATGAAGATGATCATTTAAGAACTATAGTTGTTAGCTGTAAATAATTGGAAGTGGGAAGATAAAAGTAAGTTTAAGTAAAAAAAAAAAAAATTCTGCTTAAATTGACAACCACTTTGGCTATTTCTCAGTTATTCATGTTATTAGAGCCTAGAGATTGCATATGGGATCATGTGGAAATTATAAATATAATTATCCTCTTTCCTGTCTACCTACTATTAAAAAATCTCTGGAACAAAGTATGTGACTCCTATAAGCACTGGGATAGGATCAGAGTTTTGATAGTTATCATAGGATGCATGTTTTTTTTTTTTCTTAAAAGGGAGTACAAAGCCATTGCTATGGACTAACACTTTAATTTCTCCCTGACAAGGCTGTCCTGAATATGTTCTATAAAACTTTTGACACAGTAAAAATCTGTGAAAAAATTATATGAATATCTGAAAAAATCAGGTACAAAAAAGATGGATTTACCTTGTATTATGTAATTATTTACTATGAAATACAGTAAATTATGAGAAGATTTCTTGATCAAAAAGTTCTGTTGAACTTTTCTGTGTTGACTTAGGGGTTTAGGGGCTATATCTATATAATATGCATGACTCAGATTTCTTCACTCAAGAAATTCAGGGTCTATTTGTGAGCCCTGAATTTGTGATTGTTGTTATTTTTAACTTGCTGAGTTCTTAATCTCTCTCATTGAGATTCAGACATTTTTATAACTTGTCTTTTCAAAAGGCAAGAGGATTTTTCTTCTTCTCTCTTTTTTTTAAATATTTTTAAATTACAAAAAAAATCCAGGACTCTTAACATCACTGTGTAGTTTTCTCGATTAGTCATTTCCATGATGAAGTCATAGGTGTGAAAATAGCATCCTAAGTAGAGAATTACATTTGGAAAGTAGAACAGGAATCTGAACCAGTGGAGAAGACTGGGTTATTCAACAAATAACCCAGTTATGAGGTGAGTTCATTTGTCAAATGAACGTTAACAATTAAGTTTTAGTAGTGCATCTATTCTGGGCATAGCTTAATCTATACCAACTATAATTGTTAAAGTTCTTATATTTGTATAACATTTACAAAATACTTTAACATATATATTAGCCAGTTGGGCCTCTTAACACTATCCTGTAGGGAAGGTAGAAATACCTTATTCTAGAAATGTAGATACTGAGCCTGAAAAAGGCAAAATTTTACTTAGTTTTAATAGCTGAACTCTTCTGTAAATATTTTTAGGTTCTAATAATGCCTAACTACATCTCGTGTCCAATTTTCTAAACTCATTTATCATTTTGATATTCACAGTAACTTTGAGATAGGTGATTTATGTCCATTTTACATTTGAGGAAGTATTTATAGGGTTAATCAGTTTATTGACAGTTAATACAGCTAGTGAAGGGTAAAAGCTACGTTAGACTTACCAGAATTTCAACCATTTTTCCCCTAATTTTACCTATGAAAATTTTAAGGTACTCAGTTTTCAAATTACTAATTTAGTATATCTGTAATAATTGTACTTTTAAACTGTTTTTTAGGATTTGGGATTCTTGCCTTGGGGTGTCTCAGTAAATATGATCTCCTTCCCTCTGCCCTGTATTATAATGATAATAAAGATTTGTGGTAGAAAATTCACATGATATTGAGTTATGAAAAGAAAGTAGAAATAACTGGTAATCCTACTCAGAGGTAGCTACCATCACTGTGGTGTACTGCCGCTTGCTAACTCTGCATTAACTTATGGAGCTATAATTTTAAATGGGCTTATGTCATGTGTTTTGCAACGTATTTTTTCTTTTTTACTTTATATTGGTTTTTCACTGAAAGTTTGCTGTCATGTTTGACAGTTGGCATGTATGGTAGCTTTTTGGTTTTACTAAGGATCGCCAAATTAATAATTTTCTTATTTTTAAAGGACCTATACATGATAGTCTAGCTATCACTGAAGGCCAGATGAAAAATGAAGAAATGCAACAGAGCATCTCAGAAGATAAGGAAGACAGAGTTTTACAAGAAACTAATGAAGAGTTAAAAACATGTTTACTGATTGCTGAGAGTGAACTTAAAAATGAAAAGGAAGAAAAAGCAGAATTAGATAAAAAGAGTGTTAGTTTGCAGCAGGAACTTTCTTTTTCTGAAAAAAAGAGTGTGGCTCTAAGTATAGAGGTCCAAAATATTCAGTCAAATTATGATAAAGTAATTTCTGAATTACATGTGCAGAGAAGTATAAATCAAGACCAGGGGGAGGAGATCATGAAATTGTCAAAGGAACTAGAAACAGCTAGAAGAAACATCACAAATAATGTTTCACAAATAAAATTAATGCAAGCAAAAATAGATGAACTGCATATGCTTGATTCAGCCTCTCAGATCTCAGACATAGATTTACTCAATCTCAGGGATCTGTCAGGTGGTTCTCAGGAGGATAACTTGCCAAAAACACAGTTATGCCTTTTGAATAATGATTATTTGGTAAATAAGCAGGTTCAAGACTATCGTATTCAGGAACTCAGTAGGGAGAGTGCTTTCCACTCTAGTATTGAAGCTATTTGGGAAGGATGTAAGGAGATTGTAAAGGCCTCCTCCAAAAAAAGTTGCCAGATCCAAGAACTGGAACAACAAATTGGAAAATTACAGGCAGAAATAAAAGGCTATAAGGATGAAAACAGTAGACTAAAAACAGAGGAGAGGGAGGAGAAAAATCAAGGTGACCTACTAAAAGAAAAAGAAAGTCTTATACAGCAGCTGGAGGAAGAGCTGCAAGAAAAAAACATTAGTCTTGAGGTTCAAATGCAGCATGTAGTTGAAGGAAAGAGAGCACTTTCAGAACTTAGCCAAGATGTTACTTCCTATAAGGTGAAAATAAAGGAACTTGAGGCAACCTTAGAAACTCAGAAAGGTGACTGTAGTCGTTCGGCCAAGTTAGAAAAAGAAATTTTGGAAAAGGAATCTATCATTTTAAAGCTAGAAAGAAATCTGAAGGAATTTCAAGCAAATCTTCAGGATTCTGTCAAAAGCACCAAGGATTTAAGTGACAGGGAAGTTAAGTTGAAAGAAGAAATTGCACAATTAACAAATAATTTGCAAGAGGCAAAGCGTTCACTTCAGTTAAAGGAAGAAGAAGAAACCAATTGGCAAGAAACAGAAAAGTAAGATAAATATTAATTAAAATGTTCTAAAATATGCAAAAGCATATCATTGATTTTCCTGAGTAACTTAAATAATTTAGGTGGGCATAACTTAATCTGTTTAAGTGTAACATGTATGATGAGTAAAGAACTTGAACTTTGTGCATGTAAACCTTTGGAACCAAAAGGTAGATGCAAAGATCTATTTATAAAAACATATGAAGTCCTCTCTGAAGGATTCATTCATGGCTTAGACATTTTGAATTTGTGATAGGTAACAATTTTGTAGATTGTTACTAGTTTACACAGGTGATCCTGAGTGATTTGGTGTCTTAATATAGAAGTGATTTGTGACTTCTAGATTGAAAGAGGAGCTCTCTGCAAGCTCTGCTGTTACCCAGAATCTGAAAGCAGATCTTCAGAGGAAGGAAGAAGATTATGCTGAGCTCAGAGAGAAACTGGCTGATGCCAAAAAGCAGATTGAACAAGTACAGAAAGAGGTAGGTTATTTGAAAAATTATGTGGCCAATTTAAACAACAAATACTGTTTTCCTTATGTATCAAGTTTAGATACTAATTTTAGGACTGAACAGAACATTTGTCAACTCCATTATTTTTCTTAAAATGAGAAGCTACTTCACAAAAGAAAATTTAGCCAGTGTAAAAAAGCTGAAGACTTTCCAACATTAAGAATAATATGTGCCTCCTCTTGCAGTGTTAGAATCTTTTCTTTCTTTTATGGACTGCCAGGTTCAAGTTCCCCCCAAAAATTAAAAAGCAAACTTTTGTTTGCAGATAGTATTTAGGAAAGTATGCTGTGCAGTTTGAACAAGTTTTTATTATAGTTTTAATTTTAAAATAGGAAATAAAATCACATGATTCCAAATTAAAAATATATAAAAGTTTATTTAGTGAGGGAAAAAACTCCCACCCCTGTCAGCCATCAAGTTTCCCTCCAAGGCATCAAATGTTACCAATTATTTTCTCTTCTTTGTCCTCTCTATCCTTTCTTTTTCTTCCTATTAAAAAATGGAAATACCCTGTAAACACTGTTGTGAATCTTGTTTATAGTATGTCTTGGCTGTTATTTCATATCAGGATAAAAGGAGACTCCAAAATGAGCTATTTGATGACTATAAAATGTATTTACCATTAGTTTAATTTATCTCCTCTTTGTTGGACAGTTCAGATAGTTTCCAGTCTTCTGCTGATTGAAATTATGCAGCAATGTCACTTTGCACATTTATAAGTCATTCTTTGATATAAATTGCTGTAAGTAGAATTTTTGGGTCTTTAGTTTGTACATTTGTGATTTTGGTATTGTCCTTAGATGTTATGCCAGTTTACATGCCAAAGTAGTGTATGATTGTTAAGAGTTTTTTCTGTACCCTTATCTACAAAGTAGTTTTTTATCATACTTTTTTGATATTTGCTAATTTGACAGATTGTATATTTCACTGTAAGTCTAATTTGCATTTCTCTAAGTATCTTTTTGTTTAAAAAACGTTTGTACTTTTTTTCCTGTGAATTGTATATTCTTTTCCTTTGCCTTTTTAGTTTGGGTTGTGGAGTTTTTTTTTTTATTTTTATTGCTTAATAGGACCTTATTACATATTCAGGAAATTAGCCTTTTAAGGATATAATTGCATAACTCTCTTCCCCCATTGCCAATTTTCTTGACTTTGATTAGAGATCTTTTTTTGCCTTGGAGCACATTTTGATTTTCATACATTTAAATTTATTTTTCTTTTATGGCTTCTTGATTTTATATTGTACTTAGACTTTTTCTAAAAGTTGAAATAGTTTTAAGGAATTATTTTTTATTACTTTGAGTTAGTTCCAAAAAAATACTTAAATGGGTATAGTCTGAAAAAATTGATACAACTGCTTGTGGGGCTAGTCCCACAGCAGTTACTCTACTGAATGTTTTATGTATCTTTTTCTTAACTTTTAAAAATATAATTTAAAGCATGTTTGTCATTTGTCTCCAATCAGTATATTGTATTCTTCAGAGATTTTTATTTTTCATATCATATTCCCAAGATTCCTTTATATTTACCTGTAATCAATTTCACTGCTATATAATACTCCATTGTGTATACTAAAATTTATCCATTCTCCTGTTGACTACTTAGATTTTTTTTTATCTTATAGTGTTCCTGTCTTACACATGCCTGTGGTACATTTGCACAAGAGTTCATATTCCAAGGGGTGGACTTACTGGGTCAGAGGATGTGAAAAGGGCTATCTCATTGTGACTTGAAATAGCATTATTCTGATTACTAATGAAATGCAGCATCTATTTGTTTTTATTGGCTATTTGTCTATTCTAGTTCCACTGTGTAAAATCCTTTTGTTCTTATCTTCTCTTTATTGTGCTATCCTTTTTTTGAATTTTTTATTAGTGTGTAGGATTTCTTTATTCTTGATTTGAATTCTTCATCAGTTAAATATGTTGCAAAGGCCAGGTGACAAATATTTCAAGGATAGATTAGATTAGAAATGTAAGCTGGCAAAGCTGACCTACACTATAATTAGGCAATAGGAAAATTTTTAGTCAAAGCAGCAAGTTAAAAGCAGTGTTGCATCATTTGGAAAGCAGTTGTTTATCACTCAGAAGATTTGGATTGTTTGCTTTCTAGGCATGTAACTTCCAGGTTTAAGATACTGTTTCTGAGCACCATGATTATCAGTAATTATTATCAAGCATGGTGTAACTGATGTCCGTTCACATGGATCCAGTTACTCAGTTCTTAAATAATTGCTTCTTTTTCCAATAAAAACTTTTTATTGTAATGCATTAGGAAATGTTTTTTAAGGAATGAAGATACAGGTGAAAACCCTCTTCCCAATCTCATTTCTTTCTTTTTTAAAAATATAATCACTCTTGACAGTCCATCTGTGTTCTACATCTTTTTATATGCTTTAACATAATATATGTATGTAAATAATTACTGTATATATTTGTGTTTTTAATTATAAATGGGATCATGTATATACAAATGTTGCTTATTAATTCATGCTATTTTTAATATTTTTTTCATACCACTATTGATAGAGGTATCTAAGTTTTATTATAGAGATAACCAACATTACTTTGGCGTTATTAGGAGTATTTTCTTTTTCTCAAAATAAACAACGTGTAGTGTCAATAACAACAATAATAATAGTAGTCAGTTATTCTGACTTTACATGTATCATCTCATTTAATTCTCAGACAACTATTAGAGGTAGGCATTATTTCTAACTTCCACTTTAGGTTAAGGAAACAAGGTACACCTTGTCCAAGTACACATAGCTGATAAATGGTAGAGCCAGGATGGAAACTTAAAGAGTCCTTAAGTGCATCTCTTGGTGTGATAGAGTCTCTATTATTGGCTGAGTTTATATCTGTAAAATTGATGAGGATGGTATTTTTTACTGAAAGTCTCATATTTTAAAGCAAAGTAAGCAGATCAATATAGATTTTATTAATGAATAATTATAAAAAATATATATTTATTATAAATTTGGAACATAAAGAAAGTCTAAAAAGGAATCTAACAATCCCCTGAAACCAAGAACTACTATTATATGGCACTTCATAGCTTTTATGATGGGGAACTTTTTCAAATAATTTCCTTTTGATTTTGAGATCTCTAGGGTTGTATGATGAAAACTGGCTTAAAGATGTACATAGATTACCTTTCCTTATTTTTTAATTTTTTTTCATTGGTGAAGATTTGCATACTAGTTCACAGCGCTTTTGATTTCTCTAACAAGTTTGTGGAATTAGGTTACCAGTAACCACCCAAATCAGTTGGCCTTTGCCCTTTGATCTTATAATTGTTCCATTTTCATCCTCTACATGCTGTTATTAGCTTTTAAAGTATTTCTTGTTCTACTAGATCACATAACTTCATAAACCTTAGAAATCTGAGCCAGTGTTTTCCCCTTAGCCATATTTCTATTGATTTTCCCATGATCATGATTTTGCTGTTCATGCAAGGTACTTTGTTGATTCTTTTTTTGAGAGCACTTACAGAGTTCAGGATTCTTAAAATACTGGAAGAAGAAAGTGATCTCTTCATATGCATTCTCCTTTAGAGTATAAGGAAGTTTTCTGACACTTTGAAGCCTTACCATATAGTATGTTAGACTCTATCTAGTTTTTCTAATGGGTTTTAAAGGATAAGAATCTTTGGACCAGTGCTCATGAATTTTAAACAATAAAAAGCAATTAGTATTTTTAAAAATACTTAACTTGTTTTACAACATTACTTTGTAGGTATCTGTAATGCGTGATGAGGATAAATTATTAAGGATTAAAATTAATGAACTGGAGAAAAAGAAAAACCAGTGTTCTCAGGAAATAGATATGAAACAGCGAACAATTCAGCAACTCACGGTAATAGTTTTGTTTCTAAAAGTGGTTTAAGTAGATTCTGTTGGTATATTTCAGTGTCTAATTAAATGAGTTCTTTATAACAAACTCTCTTTTGACCTTTTCTAGAATCTAAAAATAAATTGCATAAAATTAAATAAGGCCATAGCGATGTGCATCTAATGAGTAGAGTATAGAAAAGAGCAACTTTACAATGGAGAAACCTGGCAGATATTACCTTAACCAGGTGTTTAAAAATAGTAGCATCACCAGTAATAAGTGATATTGATGCTACATACTTCCTAATTTGATGTGACCAGAAGGGCACATATCTTCTGTACACAGTATTCTTCCCCCAAGTTCATAACCATAGTGTCGTAGTGAAAACAACAGACAAACCCAAACTGAGGATATTAAAGTGTCAAGGTTATTAAAGAAAAGGATTACTGAGCAACTGTCATAGATTGGAGGAGATTAAGGCGAGATGATAACTAAATGCAGTGTTGTATCCTGTATGGGATCCTGGAACAGAAAAAGGACATCTGTGGAAAAACTGGTAAATCCAAATATAGTCAGTAGTGTTATTAATAGTATTATACCAATGCTAATTTCCTTTTTCCATATAAAGATGATTATTTCCATGTTCTAAATAACAGCTACTAGACTCAACTGCTAATTTTTCTGTGTCCAGTGTTAGTTTCTTGATTTTTAAATAAATAATACCATGGTAATATAAAACGTTAATATTAGGGTAAGCTAAGTGGAGATTATACAGGAAATCTCTGCCATCCTTGCAAGTCCTTTGTGGATCTAAAATCATTTCAAAATAAAAAGTAGAAAAAAGTGAAGCTCAGGTCTTATAAAATTGTGTTTTTAAAAAGACACTTAAAAACCACAATCTCTTTATAAGTGTTTGTATTTTGCTTGACATTAATTAAATGGATTAGGCACCAATGAAAAAAATGATTTCCTGTATTCTTTGCATGTTTGCTTTTAAATGAAACAAACTAATGTATACTCACATGTAAACATATGATTTTAATTTCAAACTGAAAATAATCTTAATAAAACAATCTATACTTTCTTAATACAATTCCAAGATTTCTAGGTTGTGTAATGATTCATTCTAAGGTTTACAAAGTGAGGGGATAAAAAGTGAAGTTAGATGAGATAGGGAGTGAAGGTGGATTGTCTGGCAGGTTAAAGCTAGAAGTGGAGGAGTTTCAGTGCCCATAATTTAATGCTGCCACTTAAGACTCCTCTTATTTTTTTCAAACTTCCCAATTACTTTCTATGTAGAGGGGGTGGAGGGCCCCCCCCTTTTTTTTTTCATTTTAAGTTTTCTGATGGTGAACTTTAAGGTTTTCCTTGTTCTTTCTATGTTGAACAGATAGTAAATCTCCATTTCTCCATTTCTGCTTTTTGTCATGTATAAGAGAATGTGGTAACTTAAAATACTGAATAAGTGAAATGACCTGACCATAACTTTTAGGTAGATTAAAGCTATAACGTTGATACTAGTAATCAGCCTTGTAAGGATTTAAATTTCAAAGCTGATATTAAACTCTGTTTTTAGGTACCACTATTAAATATTGCTGTGTGTTTAAGTTATATTTGCATTTAACTCATATTCTTTCATTTTGCAGGAGCAGTTAAATAATCAGAAAGTGGAAGAAACTATAAAGCTGTATGAGAGAGTATGCAAAGGTCAGGGACAAACCTCTATTTTCAATACTAAAATATCTGCAAAATAGGTAGTTGCAATAACAATTGGGTTAGCATTTTCCTTTGAAAATTATAAAGGTCAGCAAAAGGTGTAGCTCTATCAGAAGAGAAAAGCATTGATTCTAGTGAGTAACTTAGCAACATCAAGTTTATTCTTAGAAAAAATAACACATTAAGAAATCCTCAGTCAAAGCAACATTGATTTCCAGGTAATGACCATTATTTTGTGAAAAATAAAGTCAAAGTTACATAGGTCACAATGAGTGAAATAAATTTCTAAACAAAATCATGTAAAGAAAATACATCAAGTAAAATATTTTAACATTAAAAAATATTTTTTTTAAATTAAAAAAATACTAAAGGCTCAAATCTTCTGCTAAATTATGCTTTTTTAAGTCAAATTGTATTGATATTTTGAAATATAATAAAATTACATTTGTACATGAACTGTACATACTTCTGTTCATAAAATTATGCATATTCCTCTCCTCTCTCTCATTCACCCTTTAATTTCTTAGTTGAGTGAGTAGTAGAACTGGGATTTGAACCCACTCTTAAGTTTCAGACTTTCCTCACTAATTCATGCTATTTGTACTTGGCCAACTAAGACAATCAGATTATTTATTTAAATAACTTGGACATTTGTGGGATTAACTTGGATGTGAAAAGTATATCTCTACGTACAGTCCTACTTTCTCCTGCTTTTCTTAGGCCTTTTTCCCTTCACATCTCCTGTTTCCATAATCTTTTTAGGGATTCTCTTTACTTTGTTTGTTTCCTTTGTTAATGTTGGCAAATGTGAACCGATTTTAGCTATTCTGAAAAAGCATGCCTTTGTAACACAATATAGTTTCTATCATGTTTTAATTTTTCCTTTGTCAAATATCAAGAAGTGTGGGCATATGCGCATTTTCAGTACTTTGATCTGACTTGGATCTTCTCCATGCTCTTGAAACTTGCTCCCAGGCATTGTAATCTACATAAGAAGTCTGTTAGTTTTTTGCAATCTCTACTTCCCTTTGTTTTTTGTATTTGACATTATTGTCCATGCTCTTTTCATCACTTTCATTTTTATATAGTATTTAAAAATTGTGTGTGTATTTTTTCTAAATATAAAAGTAATATTATTTTACCCCTTTTTGAAACTCTATTATAGTTTTCAGCTTTTGTGATCTATTTTCTACCAGTTACTTGCTGCCTTTTTGTCAGAGTGAACCGCGGCCACTTTGGCAACTTTCCTGATTAAGGTGGCATCAACTTTTCACTCTTGTTTTGTCCTTTGAGAGTTCATTCCCAAACAAATAGGTTGTTGAGGGTTTCCCTGGCTTCTGCATTTCTATTTAAATACTGAGTGTTATTCACTTAGCTATTTTAGTAATTCTTTTTTTAAATTGAGATATAATACATATACCATAAAATTTACCCTTTAAAAGTATGCAGTTTAGTGGGATTTAATATATTCACAAGGTTATATAATCACTACCACTAATTCAAGAACATTTTTGTCACCCCAGAAATAAATCCTGTACCCATTAATAATCACCCACTAGACCCTGTCAGGTAATAATCTACTTTCTGTCTCTGGTTTTGCCTATTGTAGACATTTCATTAAGTGATTTATACAATATATGTCCTTTTGAGTCTTACTACTTTCACTTAGCATAATGTTTTCAAGTTTCACTCATATTGTAGCAAGCATCAATACTGGATTCTTTTTTATGGCTGAGTGATATTCCATCGTATGAGTTAACCACATTTTATTTATGTATCAGTTGATGGACATTTGAATTCTGCTCTTTGGATTTTATGACTGTGTACAAGTTTTTGGGTGAACATACATTTTCAATTCTCTTGGGGTTATTTACCTTAGAGTGGAATTACTGGATCATATGGCACCTATATTTAACTTTTTGACAAATCGTCAAATTTTCCACAGGGGCTACACTATTTTATATTCCTCCCAGAAGTAAATGAAGGCTCCAGTTTATTTTTCACTTTTAAAATTATAGCTATCTGTATTCGTTTTCTAGGGCTGCCTCCACAAACTACCACAAACTGAGTGGTTTCAAACAACAGAATTTTATTCTCTCACAGTCCTGAAAGGTAGAAATCTGAGATAAAGGTATTGATAGGGCTACACTCTTTCTGAAGAGTATAGGGAAGAGTCTTCCCATGTCTCTTCTGGCTTCTGATGGTTGATGGTAATCCTTTGTTTCCTTGGCTTGTGATAGCATAACTCTAATCTGCCTCTGTTTTAAACTGGCCATCTTTCCTCTGGGTGTGTCTGTATCATTGTCTTATTCCTATATGTCTCTGTCTAAATTTATCTCTTGTTATAATAACACTAATCATATTGGATTTAGGGCTCACACTAATCCAATATGAACTCATTCTTAACCTTATTACATCTGTTAAGACCTGATTTCCAAATAAGGTCATATTCATAGTGGGTGGACATAGAGATTTTGAGAACACCATTTAATCTAACATATTGGTAAGTATAAAATAGTATGTCATTGTGGTTTTGGTTTGCATTTCCCTAATGATTAGTGATATTGAGCATCTTGTCTTCTGCTATTGGCTCTTTGTGTATCTTCTTTGGAGAAATGTCTGTTCTAGTCCTTTGCCCATTTTTTAATTGGGTTGTTATTTATTATGGAGTTGTAAGACTTCTTCATATATTCTGGAGGCTAGACCCTTATCAAGTAATTGATTTGCAAATGTTTTTTTCCCATTCTGTAGACTGTTTTTCACTTCTTGGATAGTGTCCTTTGATGCATAAAAGTTTCTAATTTTGATGATGCCCTTTGACCTAGTTTGTTTTGACCGCTTATGCTTTAGGTGTTAATGTTTTAAAAAGCTGTTGTATAATGCATAGTCATGTAGGTTTTCTTCTAAGAGTTTTACAGTTTTAGCTCTTATATTTAGGTTGCTTATCCATTTTAAGGTAATTCATTGAGTATAATTTTGTACATTGTATGAGGTAGGTGTCTGACTTTATTCTTATATATATGGGAAAACAATTGTCCCAGCACCATTTGTTGAAAAGAAAACACCATTTGTTGTTATTCCCCCTTGCATTCTCTTTACACTTTTGTCGAAAATCAGTTTATTTATAGACCACTCTGCTTCATTGGTCTGTACGTCTGTCCTTACTCCTGTACCATGCTGTATTGTTACTGTAGCTTTATAGTAGGTTTTGAAATCAGGAAGTATAAATTCTCCCACTTTTGGTCTTTTACAAGATTGTTTTGGCTATTTTGTGTCCCTTGTGTTACCACATTAATTTTAGGACCAGTTTGTCGATTTCTGCAAAAAAGCCAGCTGAAATTTTAGTGGGGATTGTGTTAGTTCTGAGGATCTATTTAGGGAAATTGTCAACCTAACAATGTGGAGCATGAATGTGAGATATCTTTTCATTTAGTTAGCCTTCTATAATTCCTTTTGGTGATGTTTTTAGCTTTTGGTGTGTAACTTTTGCACATCTTTTCTTAATTTATTTCTAAGTATTTTATTCTTTGTAATGCTAGTGAAAATGGAATTGTTTTTTTAATACCATTTTTGGATTGTTAATTGCTACTGTACAGAAATACTGTAGATTTAATCATGTTGCTCTTGTATCCTGCAACCTTGCTGAACTAGTTTATGAACTCCAATAAGGTTGTCTTCTTCTTTCTTTAGACTTTTTAAATACAGGATCATGTCATCTGCAAATAGCAAAAATTTTTCTTCTTCCTTTCCATTCTGATTGCCTTTTATTTCTTGTTCTTGCCTAATTGCCCTGGCTAAAGCCTCCAGAACAATGTTGAATTAAAGTGTTGAGAGTGGACATCTTTGTCATATTCCTAATCTTAGGGGGACATTTTTATTCTTTCACCATTATGCATTATGTTTGGAGGACAAGGGGTTTGTAGATGCCTTTTATCAGGCTGAGGAAATTAGTTCCCTATGTTCTTTTATCATAAAAGGGTTTTCTCAGATGCTTTTTTCCACCCCTTTTAAGATGGTTATATGGTTTTGTCCTTTTATGCTATTAATATGGTCTTTTGCTTTAACTGATTTTTATACGTTGAACCAAACATGCATTCCTGGGATAACTCCCACTTGATTATGGTTTTTCGTAAGTTGGTGAATTCAGTTTGCTAGTATTCTGTTGAAGTTTTGCATCTATATATATATATATAAGGGATATTTGTCTATAGTTTTCTTTATTAAGTGGTTTTGGAGTCTTACTAAATTCTGAACCTGAATGTCTCTTTCTACCCAAACTGTCTTAATTTTCTGATCCCTGTCTCTCATCTCTGCTGTTCCTAATGTTTAGACCATGGGTTAGTGAATAGCTGCCCTCTGACCAAATCCAGCTCACTGCCTAATTTTATAAATAAAATTTATTGGAACATAGCAACATTCTTTTTTGTATTGCCTATGGCTTCTTTCACATTACAATGACTGTAGTAAATAGTTGTGACAGGCCTTAAAATACTTCTATCTGACCTTTCACAGAAAATGTTTGCCAACCCCTGTTTTAGACTTCAAATAGTGTTTCCCCTCACCCTTAGATCCAAGACCTAAATTCTATTACTTCTTTTCCCTAGTGAGTCCTCATATTTGTTCTGTCTCATTGCTAGGCCTATGTCAAAGGCATTCTCCTGTGTAGCCACACAGCTGGATTAAATGTTTCTGAGGTTCTTCTTTCATTTTGTCATTTTTCTATTAGCAATTTTCAGTCATTTCAGAAACATTGCCCACACAATAAACTTTTACCTTCTAGCTTGGCATTTCAGCTTGCTGTTTTTTAGCTTAATGCTGTTCAACTTTTCTTTTTCTGTCCAGACTAACTTGTGTTCCCTTATCTTGTCCTGCTCTACTTTGCCTCTTTCTGTGATAAAGAAGGCAAATAAAAGATCACATTTCTTTTGGAAATGTCTGATCTCAAGAAAAAGACCCCAGAAGAAATTACTAATTAAAGCAATGAGTTTCTA